GCTATATACTGTTTCAGCTTCAAGAGGCTTTCAGGTTTTGAGCCTGATTCAATTTCTCTGTTACCCAGGACTTGGCAAGCAGCACCACAGCCCCAGCAAGGCTGTTCCCCAGCTGCAGGCTGTGTGCGACGGGCCCTGTGACAGGCTGGAAACGTAAAACCACAGTGGGAGGAAGGAGGATGTATGGCGGTTCTAAGTCACTGAAATTACTCTTTTTTCTCCCCGGGGCCGTGCGGGGGTGTCCCTGCCCTGATTCCTGTTTCCTGCATTCACCCTTGAGGAACCAGCGCCCAGGAGCACAGTTGGACGGCTAGGGCAAACGGCAAGGAGAATTTAACCCCTACAGTTGACGGTGGTGGTTGTCACATGCCACCCGGGAGAAGGCTGCCGTGAGGTCCTTGCCATAGGCAGGGCCACCGAAACGTCACGGTGCGCTGGGTCTGGCGGTGCCACTGCTCTGTGAAGCGATGAGCCAGTGATGGCAAAAAAATGAACAAAAGTATAGCCAGCATTTCTGAGAGTTTTCTTCTGAGCAGCCGTTTGAAATAGCTTTCTCTACAATTTGGTAATTTTTATACAATCAGACTTTATACAGTATTTTGGTCATTGGATTACCAAGGGGAACCGACTAGGATCCTTCTATGCAGTTGTCTATGAAGATGTGTGGCACAATGCCAGGCTCTAGAAGAGACTTAGGACATAAATAGCACGTGCAGGGTGCTTTACATCACTGTCCAGCTCCCTGTCAGTCCTAAGTAAAGAAGCTACGAGAAAGCGAGTATCGGTTCCAAACAGGCCTAATTGCTGGTTCTTGGTGACTCTGTGTTAAAGCAGTTGGCAAAAGGCCGTGCATTCATATACTGTGACAGTGTGGTGAGAACGTAAGTGTGCTACGTAATTTCTCTGTATTCTTCTGAATGTTTAAAGAACAAGTAAAAAGGAAAAAGATAGGCTTTAAAAAACACAGTGAGAAATGACTATCTTACATGAGACTATCATCTGATTCAGACTATATAAAGCCACTTTTCCCTCCTTGCCTTTAATCCACCGAAGAAAACAGCAGATGATACATTTCTTCCTCCTCCTTATTTATTTGCATGTTTATTTTAATAACTTCATTGAGTTATAATTTAACTCCAATAAGTTCACTTATTTTAGGTGAGTAGGCCGATTAATTTAAGAAATTATACACAGTGGTGTAAACACCTGCATAATCAAGATAAATAGAACATTTCTGCACCTTTAAACCTTCTGCCACGCTCCTTCACAGTTGATCTCTTCCCTTAATCCCTGGCCCTGGGCAACCTTGGACCTCCTTTCTGAAACTATAGCTTTGACTTTTTATATTTTTTGAGATGGAGTCTTGCTTTGTCACCAGGCTGGAGTGCAATGGCGCGATCTCTGCTCACTGCAACCTCCGACTCCCTGGTTTAAGCGATTCTCCAACCTCAGCCTCTTGAGTAGCTGGAATTACAGGCACGCACCACCACACCCAGCTGAGTTTGTATTTTTAGTAGTGATGGGTTTCACCATGTTGGCCAGGATGGTCTCAATCCCTTGACCTCGTGATCCGCCTGCCTTGGCTTCCCAAAGTGCTGAGATTACAGGCGGGAGCCACTGCGCCCGGCCAGCTTTGACTTTTAAAAATTTTTATATAAATGAAATCATACTCTGTGTAATCTCCTGTGGGTCTTTTTTCACTTAACGTAAGCTTTTGGAGACTTAACTATATTGTTTGGTGTTTTCATGTTAAATTCCTTTTACTGCTGAGTAGTGTTCAGTAAGTATGGATCTATGAAGTAAGAGAACGTAGGCCACGTGTGTGTGCGTACAGATAAGGTGGTTCATGTGAGCACGCCCTCTCCTCACCACTCCGCTTACTGACTGCTCAGATGAATTCAGATGTCTCTTCACAACAAACATGTACCTCTTAACCTTTTGACAGTTTAACTATAAAAATTGGACTATTCCTTTGTTTCTTTTGCAAATCAGGGTTATACTTAAAACTTTAAATATTACTTGTATTAGGAAATTTGATTATGGCATGCCTTGGTAGTGTTTTTCTTCATGATTCTTGTGGTTGAAGTTTGTTGAGCTTCTTTTGTCTGTGGATTGATAGTTTCCATCAAATTTAGAAAAGTTTTTGGTCATTACTTTTTCACATACATTTATTCCATCTCCTCCCCCTCTCCTTCAGTGACCGGCCCATTGGTCCATCCGTCCATCCTTGCGTTGTTTCTTTTATCAGTTGTCTGTTTCGTTTTAGGCCGTTTCTGTTGCAGGTTCATCAGATTCACTAGCCTTTCCTTCTGCAATGTCTAGTGTGCTCTTGTTCCCATTTAGCGTGTTTTTCATCATAGGCATTGTAGTTTTATCTTTGGAAATTTGATTTAAATATTTTTTTAAAAAACATCTTCCATGTCTCTAAGGTGTTCATTCTTTATTCTGGCTTCTAGAACATCAGGAATACACTTACAACTTTTAGAGTCCCTATCTGCTAATTTTATCACTCGTTGTTTCTGGCCTGTTTCTGTCGATTGATTTTTCTCCTCATTATGACTTGTCCTTTCCGCTTCTTGCCTGCCTGTTCGTTTTTAAAATTGGGTACCAGATAGTGTGAATTTTACCTTTTTGTGTGCTGGATTTTTTTTTGTATTGCTAAAAATATTCTTGAGCTTTGTTCTCCGATGTGTTAAATGACTCAGAAACAGTTTGATCCTTTTGAAGTTTGCTTTTAAGCTTTGCTCAGTAGCATGAGAGCAGACTTTAGGGGTAATGTCGGCAGCCTTTCTGAGTACTCGTTCTGATGCCCTGTGAGTTACGGGGTTTTCCGCTCTGACTGGTGAGACTCGGCACTGTTCCTGGTCCTGTGTGAGGCTCAGGGATTGTTTCCTTTGCTTCTCCCAGGTGGTTCTCTCCCTGTTCTCAGATAGCTTTCTTACGTGGAAGCCCCAGTCAGTACTCAGTTGAAGACTTGGGGGACCATCTGAGATCTCTGACACTCCCTCTGTGCAGCTGTCTTCTCCCTAGTACTCTGCTCTGTGAGCTGCAACTGCCCTGAGACTCCCCACTCTATCTTCTCAGCTCAGAGAGATGCTGGGCTCCTCCTGGGTGCCCCTTTCCTGCACCCCGGCTTGGAAACTCTCCAGACACTAAGCTGGGCTTACCACATTGGCTTTCCCTCTCTCAGGACCATTGTCCTGTGCTGCCTGATAGCCAATGTCTGAAAACCATGGTTTCCTTTTTAAATTTTTTTCAGTTCTTTAGTTTTCACTGGGAAGGGTAAATCTAGTCCTTGTTACACCATCTTCACTGGAAGCAGAAATCTCAGCCTACTTGTTAAAACTTTTGATAAAATGCTTGTAGCACACAGGCAAGTTGTATTGATTATTCAGATAGCCATGATTCATTTTTATAGTTTTGTCATATTTCTACTGCATTTTTAAAAGCAGAAGATTACTAAAATCCTCTCTTTCTCTCTTTTCTTTTTCTTTTTTTTTGGTGACAGTGTCTTACTTTATTGCCCAGGCTGGAGTGCAGTGGTGCAATCTCCGCTCACTGCAAACTCCACCTCCCAGGTTCAAGTGATTCTCCTGCCTCAGCCTCTTGAATAGCTGGGACTACAGGCACGCGCCACCACACCTGGCTAATTTTTGTATTTTTAGTAGAGATGGGGTTTCGCCATGTTGGCTAGGCTGGTCTCAAACTCCTGACCTCAGGTGATCCACCCACCTCAACCTCCCAAAGTGCTGGGCTGACAGGTATGAACCACTGTGCCAGGCCAGATCCTCTCTTCTGGATCCCATTCTTCTTTCCTTTTACAGAGGTTGCTAATATTCTGTATTTGATCATTGTCATTTGTGTGTGGATTTAAAAAAATGGTTTTACTACATATGTATGTGTCCATAAGTAGTCTCTTTTATTAGTATTATCTGAAGATATAAAACAGTATCATGCTGTACCTGTAATTCTTCCATTTTCTTTTCCATTCAGTGTTTAAAAAATATTTATCCCTATGATACATGTAGCTTTAGCTGAAATCGACATTCCACAAGAACAAGAATCTGCTGTGTTTGGTTCACTGGGATATTCCAAGTATCTGGAATAGTGCCTGGGACCTTGCAGGCTCAGTCAGTATTTGCTGGGTGAATGAATTCATTTTCACTGCGGTATAGTACTTTATGAATGTGTCACAGTTTATTCTCCTGTTCATGAATGTTTAGGTTGTTGTACCTTTTCATTTTGTTCTAATACAGACCGTGCTACAGTGAATGTTCTTACCTGTGTCTCTTTGTGCACATATGTAAAAATTGTTTTAGGAAATACTGGGCGGTAGGGGCAGGCACCTCTTCAACTTAACAGTACATTGCTGAGTTTCTCCGCCATGTTAATAATATCAGTTTCTACTCCCACCAGCAGTGTATAAGAATCCTCATTTTGGCTGGGCGCGGTGGCTCACGCCTGTAATCCCAGCACTTTGGGAGGCTGAGGTGGGTGGATCACCTGAAATCAAGAGTTTGAGACCAACCTGGCCGACATGGTGAAACCTCATCTCTACTAAACATAAAAAATAAAAAAATTAGCTGGGTGCAGTGGCGCGTGCCTGTGGCCCCACGTACTCAGGGAGGCCGAGGCAGGAGGACTGCTTGAATCCAGGAGGCGGAGGCTGTAGTGAGCCGAGAACTGCTTGAATCCAGGAGGCGGAGGCTGTAGTGAGCCGAGATTGCTTGAATCCAGGAGGCGGAGGCTGTAGTGAGCCGAGAATTGCTTGAATCCAGGAGGCGGAGGCTGTAGTGAGCCAAGATTGCACCACCAGACTCCAGTCTGGCAGCAGAGGGAGATTCCATCTTAAAAAAAAAAAAAAAAAAATCCCCATTTCTTCACATCCTTACCAGCATTTGTTATCATCAGATATTGTAATTTTTGCCAATCCTGTATACATGAGATTACATTTTGCTTGACTTTTGTTTTTATTAATAACACATCGTTTTTCCCAATAGAAATTCAATGTCTTCTTTCCGTCCTGGGAGGGGCCATAATGATAGTCGGAGGACTGTGTTTTATACCAATGAAGAATGGGAACTTTTAGACCCAACCCCTAAGGACCTAGAAGAGTCTGTAGTGCAGGAGGAAAAGAAGAAGCCGACCCCTGAAGGAAACAAAGGTATCAGCACGCTTCCTGTTGTCTGCAATTCTCTGTACTGCCATCTGTTCACCCGTGATATGGGAGACACTTTATTAGCAGGTGTTTTGAGAGGCACAAGGCCCAGTGGGGGCTTGCATTCTCTTTGTGAAACTTACAACACAAAGGCTTGAAAAATTATTTAATAAATGTTCTAAGAAAGAAATGACTGTCTAATCCAATGGCTCTTAAAATTTTTTGGGAGATAGAACACTTGGAAGTCATGATCCTTTTATGGAAATACTGATTTTAAAAAACTTGATAGAAATTTGAAATGTACACAAAAGAAGAGAATATAGTCTCGTGATTTCCGGTGTACTCGTTATCCAGCCTCCACAGTGTGAACTGTGGTCTGTCTGCTTCCCTCTCCATCTCTCAAGTTCCTGCTCCTCCCTGCACCCACTGTCAGCTGGATTATTTTAAATTTTAAGCATTAATCCATTGCATCTGTAAATGCTTTAGTGTGTATCTCTAAGACATAATGACTCTTTTAAAAAAATTAGAACCACAACTTATTTATTTATAGTTATAATAAATCCTCGATATTATTTAATTCCTTAGTTGTTCCCTAGTGTCTGCTTACAGTCGGTTTCCTCACGTGAGGATCCAAACAAGACCCACACGTTATATTTCATTGACGTCGTCTTAGGTCTCTTTTTTTTTTTTTTTTTGAGACGGAGTTTCGCTCTTGTTACCCAGGCTGGAGTGCAATGGCACGATCTCGGCTCACCGCAACCTCCGCCTCCTGGGTTCAGGCAGTTCTCCTGCCTCAGCCTCCTGAGTAGCTGGGATTACAGGCACGTGCCACCATGCCCAGCTAAGTTTTTTGTATTTTTAGTAGAGACGGGGTTTCACCATGTTGACCAGGATGGTCTCGATCTCGACCTCGTGATCCACCCGCCTCGGCCTCCCAAAGTGCTGGGATTACAGGCTTGAGCCACCGAGCCCGGCGTCTTAGGTCTCTTTTGGTGACTTTTTCCCCCTTCCCCCTCCCTTCCCACATTTGTTGAAGAAACCATGCTGAAGAGTCTCCCACATCTGGGTTTGCTGATTGTATTTCTGTGGGGTCATTTAACATGCTTTCCTGCATACCAGCAGTCAGAGCCGAGGCCTGCCCAGATTCAGGGTTGACTTCTGGTTGGACGGGAGTGGCGTTTTGGTGGGGAGGTGCTGTGTGCTTCTTACTGCATGGCATCCGAAGCCACATCGTATCTGGTTTCTCTCTTACCATATTAAGATTAATCAAAGCTGGGGCCGGGCGCAGTGGCTCAAGCCTGTAATCCCAGCACTTTGGGAGGCCAAGGCGGGTGGATCACGAGGTCAAGAGATCAAGACCATCCTGGTCAACATGGTGAAACCCTGTCTCTACTCAAAATACAAAACATTAGCTGGGCATGGTGGCGCGTGCCTGTAATCCCAGCTACTCGGGAGGCTGAGGCAGGAGAATTGCCTGAACCCGGGAGGCGGAGGTTGCGGTGAGCTAAGATCGCGCCATTGCACTCCAGCCTGGATAACAAGAGCGAAACTCCATCTCAAAAAAAAAAAAAAGATTGATCAAAGCTGAGGGTTGTCATTCTGATCCATTCATAACCTCCTCCATCAGCCTTTTGCCCGATGCTTTTAACCGTCATTTACGATCCTAGATTGATTGATTTATTTTTGAGATGAAGTCTTGCTCTGTCACCCAGGCTACAGTGCAGTGGTGTAGTCTCAGCTCACTGCAACTTCTGCCTCCCAGGTTCAAGTGATTCTCCTGCCTCAGCCTCCTGAGTAGCTGAGATTACAGGCACGCGGCACCATGCCCAGCTAATTTTTGTATTTTTAGGAGAGATAGGGTTTCACCATGTTGCCCAGGCTGCTCTTAAACTCTTGACTTCAGGTGATCCACCTGCCTCAGTCTCCCAAAGTACTTGGATTACAGGAATGAACCTCTGTGCCCATCCACAATCGTAGATTAATTCATTAAGAGAATATTGATGTTTTAAACATGAAATAATAAATAATTTCGAAATTCCACCTTATACCTAGTTCTAGCAAAAATGGGAAGCCTAGGATGCTTAGTATGTCTTCGTTTTCCATTAAAAGTGATCCTGCGATAGTCTTCCAAGGAAGGATCCAGTGGGGGGAATCAGGCATCTTTGGCTGAAGCATGTTGGTTACTATCTGGAATGCGATGGGGACAGAGTCATCAATCTCCTCGGGTTCTCAAGGTGGAATGCCAGACTTTGAGGATGATTTGTGAAGATGCTTTATTTTGTTACAGTTTCCAAAAGGAAGATGTGGCTTGTATCTAAAACACAAGTTTTATTTTTGTGTAGGAGTAACTGGCTCAGGCTTCCCCTTTGATTTTGGCCGTAATCCTTACAAAGGAAAGCGCCCTCTGAAAGACATAATTGGGTCGTACAGAAATCGTCACAGCAGTGGTGATCCTTCAAGTGAAGGCACACCAGGCAGTGGCAGTGGCAGCATCAGCGTCAGGAAGCCGGCCTCCGAAATGCAACTGCAGGTCCAGAGCCAGCAGGAAGAGCTGGAACGGTTAAAGAAAGACCTATCCAGTCAGAAGGTAACTTCTTCTTCTGGCTTCTGTCTCGCCCCACATCAGCAGGCCACGGGCGGGGGGAGTGAAGCCCAATCTGTGTGTCCCTGAGTCTTTCCAGGCACAGCTTTGTTTCCCAAAAGTTGCTTTTCCCTGGAGGTCTCCTACTGCCAGGGCCGTCATCCTGGGTGCGGCTGCTGTGCGGGGTCGTCGGTTCAGAGGTGTTTATATTTGTAAGGAGTGTGAAGAGAGGAGGACTCGGGAGGTTGCTGTCTGCACCTCCGGCCAGTCCTGCCCCAAGATTGAATCTCCCTAAACACAGTTTCAGCCCAGAGTTCTTTAACCGTCATTAAGAAGACTTTCTGTATCAACAATAGTTTCCTGAGCTAATCAGCTGAAATTACACTTAACTGTTCAGCAGTTCCGTGACTCTCAGAGCACAGATTTTTTTTAATACCCATGAACATTTACTGGACACCATTGCTAACTAATTACGGTGGGCAGGTCCATTATTTCCTGTTTCCTATTACTGTTCTCTACAGACAGTCTTTATGGAGTAAATATTTTTTTCTATTTTCGAGATCCTTCAAGAGGAAATTCAGTATTGAAATGTTTCCAGTAGGGTTTCTACATTTCCTCCAATGCTGACCGTTGCTCCATGTCATGATTTCTGCGTTTCCTCCTCTCCTCGCTCTCCTCACCTTCACTCCATTCTCCTTTGGGCCCCCAGGAGCTTGTTCGGCTGCTCCAGCAGACAGTCCGGTCATCCCAGTACGACAAGTATTTCACTAGCAGCCGGCTCTGTGAGGGGGTCCCAAAGGACACGCTCGAGCTTCTGTGCCAGAAGGATGATCAGATTCTGGGCCTCACCAGCCAGCTGGAGAGGTTCAACCTGGAGAAGGAGAGCCTTCAGCAGGAAGTGAGGACGCTGAAGAGCAAAGTGGGCGAGCTCAACGAGCGGCTGGGGATGCTGATGGAGACCATCCAAGCCAAGGACGAGGTCATCATCAAGCTCAGCGAGGGCGATGGCGGTGGGCCTCCGACCACGGCCCCCGGCTCCCCTTCCACCGCGCCTGTCGGCAGGGACCAGCTGGAACTGGACAGGCTGAAAGTAAGAGCAGGGCAGCGTTTCTGGTGGTCGGCATGAGAGACCACCGATGTCACCCTAGAGGCCAGGCCTCTGTGAGCTGATTGGTGTGATGGCAGAAGAGCTGCACACTTTTTTTCCCCCACAAGTGTAATAGGACTTACGTCAAATAGTCGTTAGTTTTCTGTGGAGCTTCCTTGGAAAGGAAACCCTTGCTGCTGCTCGGAGCGGTTTCAAATCCTTCCCCTCACTTGCTTTCGGGCAACTGAGATTTTTCTTTCTGTGTATACCACCCTTAGGACTTCATTATCCTGTGTAACATATGGAGGCTGTTTCTTGCCTCTCTGTGTACATGAAAGCACACATAAACTTAATTTGTATAGCTTGCTGCAGGACCTAGTGGGTGCCTGGTTTGGGGCATTGTTCCCAACAGCTATTATAGGGTTAGCTGGGGAAGCAGACTCCAGCTTCCAAGCAGGCCTGGGAAGAGGGGGCCTCTTCAGAGTCAGTGCCCCCAACACCCAGGGTGGGAGTGTCCTGACACTTAGAATGAAGTGTCCCTCTCTGGGATAGCCCTCAAGGTGGAGGCTGTTTTCCTGAACAGAAGTGACTCCAAGTCATGGCTGGCGTGGCGACCACCTGATGCGGTAGGAGGAACACAGCACTTGGGGGAGGCGGGGGCAGCCGCCTGCATTTCTCTTCTTGCCGGTAGATGAGCCTGCTGGTCCAGCAGGGGGGCCACAGGGATCATGACATTCTTGCTGCCACCAGTTCTTGAGACTGTTGGAGAGGTTTCAGATGGACAAGTGGCCCCCAGGACATGGGGTATCAAGTATAGCCACCCCAGCAGACCCCAGACGTGTCTGTAGCTACTGGTCTCACCCAGCCCCAAGGCGTCCCTCACCTGGTCCCCTTCTTCTTGCAAATAATGTGTCTCCAAGGGTGATTGGCTCTAGATGGAGCTTGTCCTTGGAGAACAGAGGTTTGCTGCCGTCCAGGCTGTGACTGAGCATGCGCTTCATGCTTAGCAGGACCTTTCAGGCCCTGTCAGTGCATTGAGTGAGAGAGTGACGGGCGTGCTAGGGACTCGGAAGATAATTCCCAAACAGAAGTAAAAACACGAATCGTGGCAGCATGGCTGGAGTATGTACACGGTCCCCACAGTGACCGCTTCTCACTGCACATGTGAGGCCAGAGGATTTATGAATGAGAAAATCTAAAACAACAATGGAACCTCTGGTCTCGGTACTTGATGCTTACGCCTACTGTTTAAGAAAGATGGCCGGCCAAGCATGGTGGCTCACGCCTGTGTGAGCAGCACTTTGGGTGACCGAGGTGGCACATTGCTTGAACCCAGGAGTTTGAGATGAGCGTAGGCAACATGGTGAAACCTGTGTCTACAAAAAAAAAAAAAAAAAAAAAAAAAAAAAAAAAAAAAAGGCCGGGCACGGTGGCTCAAGCCTGTAATCCCAGCACTTTGGGAGGCCGAGGCGGGTGGATCACGAGGTCAAGAGATCAAGACCATCCTGGTCAACATGGTGAAACCCCGTCTCTACTAAAAATACAAAAATTTAGCTGGGCGTGGTGGCGCGTGCCTGTAATCCCAGCTACTCAGGAGGCTGAGGCAGGAGAATTGCCTGAACCCAGGAGGCGGAGGTTGCGGTGAGCTGAGATCGCGCCATTTTACTCCAGCCTGGGTAACAAGAGCGAAACTCTGTCTCGAAAAAAAAAAAAAAAAAAAAAAAAGCCAGGCACGGTGGCCTGTACTTGCAGTCCTAGCTACTCAAGAGACTGATTGCTTGAGTCCTGGAGAGCGGTGCAAGGCTACAGTGAGTTGAGATCCTACCACTGCACTCCAGCCTGGATCACAAAGCGAGACCTCTTTGCAAGAAAAAAAAATACCCTTTTTTTGTAAAAAAAAAAAAAAAAATAAATAAGAGGTCTTGGTTAGTGTTGCCAGTAGAAGTTGGTTTTTTCTTTAATGTACACAATATTGAATATACATGACCCTAAATATACAGCCATCAATAATACACATTTTATGATTACTTAATGAGAGCAGAAATTTTTATTTTCATGTATTTATTTATTTGAGACAGGGACTTGCTCTGTTGCCCAGGCTGGAATGCAGTGGTTCAGTCTCAGCCCTCTGCAGCCTTCACCTCCCCCTGCTCAAGAAATCCTTTAGCCTCAGCCTCCTGAGTTGCTGGGACTAGAGGCTCTCATTACCATACCTGGCTAATTTTTGTATTTTTAGTAGAGACAGAGTTTTGCTGTGTTGCCCAGACTGGTCTTGAACTCCTGAGCTCAAGTGATCTGCCTGCCTTGGTTTCAGAACGCTGAGATTACAGACTTGAGTCCTCCCGCCCAGCCGACAGCTGAAGTTTTTATTTTGCAAGTGTGTCCATTTCTGTAGTGTGTAGAACAAAACTATAGCGGTCGGTTTCAGGGCATGTGTGGCACTTGGCAGTGGGGGAGGCGTGTGGAGCAGGTTTTCCCGGGGAGTGAGCCGGGGTGTGTGTGGAGTGTGCCTGCTGGCTGTTGAGACTGTGCAGCTAACCGAGCTGATCAGGATACAGTCAGAATAGGAGGCCCGACGCCAATCAGAACAGGACATTCCCTCTTCTCCTCTTTTCTTTTGCAGCATAATGGGTGGAGTGGTTTTTTTTTTTTTTTTGAGACGGAGTTTCGCTCTTGTTACCCAGGCTGGAGTGCAATGGCGCGATCTCGGCTCACCGCAACCTCCGCCTCCTGGGTTCAGGCAATTCTCCTGCCTCAGCCTCCTGAGTAGCTGGGATCACAGGCACGCGCCACCATGCCCAGCTAATTTTTTGTATTTTTAGTAGAGACGGGGTTTCACCATGTTGACCAGGATGGTCTCGATCTCTTGACCTCGTGATCCACCCGCCTCGGCCTCCCAAAGTGCTGGGATTACAGGCTTGAGCCACCGCGCCCGGCCCTTGGGTGGAGTGGTTTTGAATCTGCGTGGAGTTTTCTTTCTCCAACATTCCCCAATTTAACAAGTTTAACAGTTTTTTTTTTTTTTTTTTTTTTTTTTAAACAACTTCACAAGCCTGTGGCTCCAAGACATCACGACTTTGAGGTTAAGTGGCGACAGCTGATGAAGCCGCTGAGGCCGCAGCAGAGCCGTGGTTGGGTGGATTCCAGGGAGATGGTTGAGGCCGGCCTGGGCCCGTGGCCTCACGCTTTCTGACGCTGCCGTGCTCTTGGCAGGGCTGAGGGTCCTTCTGCGCTGCAGAAGGTGTTCACGCCTCATGCAGGGCTCCTCCGCAGTGGCGCTGGGAGAACTGGAGAGGCCCCAGGGAGAACGAGAGCGCACTTTGACAGAAGCGTGTTCTCTCACAGCCCTCTCCAGCTCTAGACAGGATGCGGATGAAGAAGAAATATCGATTCGTTCTTCTGATTCCAAATTCAAAATGTCTACCTAGAAAAAATATATATATATTTAAGGTATATTTATTTAAAGCATATTTTTGTGTATTTTTAATTTTAAAGATAGGTTTTGTTATTTTAAAGATACCTGTTTTGTTATTGCTGTTCTTGACCAGTTTTCATGCTTTATTTTCAGTGGGTGTGGCCTGTAAAGATTTCTGCCGTTGGGATTTGCTAACTTTTTTTGGTGTGGTCTAGTGCATGGTTACTTGTTGTTCCTGTAGTATTCTGAGGCAGGAATAAACGTTGCTCCCAGGATTTTGCCGCCCTAGTGATTTAAGTCATTATTTTTCCACGTGTCCTTCCAGTCCTTTTCTGTGTTCCCGTAATTCTTTCATTGTTGAAGTCGCTGGACTTCCGTCTTGTTCCGTTCAGCGTTATGGCCCCAGCACTTCCATGCTGCCGTCATTAGCGATTTCGGGGTTGTCTGTCCTTCGTGATAGCACAGAGAAGGTGTTACCTCCATCCTTGTCTTTCTTCCTGCGTTTGCTGTTCCATGAACGCCTCCATGCCCGCACTTCGTCAGCCCATCTATTCAGCCAGCCAGCGGTGCACCCGGCCTTTTACTCTGCAGGGGTACACAGGCATTGCCGTCCTGGGCCCTGCCATTTGATTTAGAGGCACAGACAGAAAAGCAGAATGACAGCTGGAGCACGCACCGGGGCGGAAGGGTGGGGTGACGCTCTGCGTTGAGCATGGCCTCTGGAGCCAGCCCTGGTTGGATTCAAACCCAGATCGCCACGTAGCACCTCTGACTTGGGCAGGCGACTTCATGTCTCTGCCTCAGTGTGTGTATCTGTGGAGCAGTGCTTATTTTCCTCATAGGTATCGTAAGGGCTACAGGCGGTAATCCACATAGCGCCCTCCCTCACACAGTGTCTGGCTCCTCCTAGGGTCTCCACTGTTGGGTGGTGTTATTGCTGTGGTCGTCATCATCATTCTAGAGAAAGTGTCCATAATAGAAATAATCAGGACCGACTGAGACCGTGACACAAATTTTAAGTTAAAGACAGACGTGGCAGCTGATGTGACTTGCTTCCATGGCCCACTTTGTGTCACTCAGTCTCTGTCCGTCACTGTTGAGTGTTTTCTTCAGTTGCCCTCCAGCTCACCTTCCTTTGGCTGCCCTGCCTTTGAGTAATGTGTTTGCTTAATGTTTCCAAATATGAGACCTTTGGCCAGGTGCAGTAGCTCACACCTGTAGTCCCAGTGCTTTGGGAGGCCGAGGCAAGAGGATCACTTAAGGCCAAGAGTTTGAGACCAGCGTGGCCAAGATAGTGAGTCCCCATGTCTACAGAAAAAATTAGCTGAGTGCGGTGGCCATGCCTGTGGTCCTAGCTACTCAGGAGGCTGAGGTGGGAGGATCACTTATGCCCAGGAGTTCAAGGCTGCAGTGAGCTATGACCGTGCTACCGCGCTCTAGCCTGGGCAACAGACAGAGTCTCTGTCTCTTCCTCTGTCTCTCTTTTTCTCTCGATACAAAGTCTCACTGTGTCACCAAGGTTGGAGTGCAGTGGCATGATCTTGGCTCACTGCAGCCTCTGCCTCCTTGGTTCAAGTGATTCTCATGCCTCAGGAAGGGTAGCTGGGACTACAGGCGTGCACTACAATGCCTGGCTAATGTTTTGTATTTGTAGTAGAGATGGGGTTTCACCATGTTAGCCAGGCCGGCCTCACACTCCTGTCCTCAAGTAATCCTCCTGCATTGGCCTCCTAAAGTGCTGTTATTACAGGCATGAGTCACCATGCCCCGCCAACCTTGTTTCTTAAAAAAAAAAAAAAAAAAGGAAGTCCAACATTCATTTCAAGTACTTGTCATTATGTGGTCTTGCTGAGGCTGAGTATGATGCCTGTCAACATTTTTTTTTTTTTTTTTTGAGATGGAGTTTCGCTCTTGTTACCCAGGCTGGAGTGCAATGGCGCCATCTCGGCTCACCGCAACCTCCGCCTCCTGGGTTCAGGCAATTCTCCTGCCTCAGCCTCCTGAGGAGCTGGGATTACAGGCACGTGCCACCACGCCCAGCTGATTTTTTGTATTTTTAGTAGAGACGGGGTTTCACCATGTTGACCAGGATGGTCTCGATCTCTCGACCTCGTGATCCACCCGCCTCGGCCTCCCAAAGTGCTGGGATTACAGGCGTGAGCCACTGCGCCCGGCCCCGCTTGTCAATATTCTAATGGGAGTCAGGGACCTGAGACCATGGAGCCAAGAGCCCACTGGCCTGGCTCTCAGAAGTCTGATTTGCAGCCTAGACAGTAATTGGGCAGCCTTCTATGGCTCAGTTCTTCACCTCAAAAATAAAGATGGTGAGAATGGCTGCCTAAGAGTTGTGAGTTTTAAACAAGATTAGGAATCCCACATGCCTAGCACAGGGCACCTGTAAGCCATCACAGGTGCTCCGTAAATATTAGTGATTAAAGGGACTATTGAATTATTTTCAGTTCTGCGTTTTATGGGGGAACAGTGTAATCCTGTGGTAGTTTCTGGTTTGGCCATGGGGAATCTCTGTAGCTGCGTCTCTGGGGAGTGGCAGCCGTCTCCTGCCTGCGGCCTCACAGGAGTCTGTCTTGACTACTCTGGCCTGCCCTTCGAGCTGTCGCCAACATAATTTCTTCTAGGATTGGGAGATCAGGAACCTCACATACCAGCCTGTCACATTTTAAAAGAAAAATAGAAGCAGGGAGGGGAAAGGGGGCGCATTTATAAAAGACCGAATTTGTAAAGAACATTTGGAAGTCACTGCCTCAGAGGTGATTCTGATTAGTATCCTTAGCAGCTTCTTCAGTTCGTTGTTGTTACTATCAGGAGAGTCAGAGGAAGTTTCTGGAGCTTTAGTTTCAGTGTGTTACGTGAAAATGCCTCGCCCTCCTCGCTGCTGTGCTTTCTCTTGCTGTTGGCTCCTTTGAGTTTCTTGCTTGTAGTTTCAAGGCCTGAAGCCAGCGTGACATCTGCCCGGGCCCGACCTGCTCGGGGACTCGGGACGCGGCAGAACACCTCACCGGCTCGTTCTGTGCTTTTAGAGACTGAAGGCGAATAGGCAGAGGTAACAAGTGGCCAGTTTAGGGGAGGCTGCATCGTGTCCATTGTACTTTTCGTTCAACTTTTCTGTAAGTTTGTAATTTTTCACTGTCGAAGAACATTTGTTCTCTTATGCGCCTAACCCATTGGAGGTCGTAGGATTTGTTGTTAAGAGTGATTTTTAGTTAAACACTTTTGTATATGTGTATAGCCTTTTTTTTTTTTAACATAAAATCGGTGTGATGATTATAACCTACAGAAATATGTTCAGTTTCTCAACTTTAAAAAAATGTAAGGTATTGCTTTTATTTTTACCACCTTAATGAATTGGAATATGGATATTTTCTCTATCTCCATTGCAGCAACCATGCCTGCCGGCCTTCTGCTGCCAAAAAGATGAATCAGAAAGTGCCTGTTAACAACTTCTAGCTCTTTAGAACTTACTTTGACTTAGCAGGGCTCTTTGACTGGTGAGGCAGCAAGATGCTGACTACATAGGGTAATTAATTGGTCAATATTCAACCGATGTGAATTCAGGGATTTTTTTTTTCCTAACAGGATAATCTACAAGGGTACAAAACCCAAAACAAATTTCTAAATAAGGAGATTTTGGAACTCTCAGCTCTACGAAGAAACGCAGAAAGGAGAGAGAGAGATCTCATGGCGAAGGTGGGTCAGGATAGATGGATTCTGTTACCTGGTGGGAGGTGAGGTAAGGAAACCATTAAAAATAAGCATGCGCCGGGCGCGGTGGCTCAAGCCTGTAATCCCAGCACTTTGGGAGGCCGAGGCGGGTGGATCACGAGGTCGAGAGATCGAGACCATCCTGGTCAACATGGTGAAACCCCGTCTCTACTAAAAAGTGCAAAAAATTAGCTGGGCATGGTGGCACGTGCCTGTAATCCCAGCTACTCAGGAGGCTGAGGCAGGAGAATTGCCTGAGCCCAGGAGGCGGAGGTTGCGGTGAGCCGAGATCGCGCCATTGCACTCCAGCCTGGGTAACAAGGGCGAAACTCCGTCTCAAAAAAAAAAAAAAAAAATAAGCATGCTTTTCAAACCGGTTCAAATCTCAGGCTCAGAGAGATGTGGTTGCTGATACCAAAATATATTTGAAATATATACAATACATAGAGATATGTAGTCTCATTTTATCTCTGATGAAGACAAAGATAAATGCCCTGAGATGTGGCTTTTTGACATAAACTGGGTAAGTAGGAATGAGAATCTACAGAAAATGTGTTCAGTTTCTCTAGTTAATAAAAAGAACATAAGATATTGCTTTCTTTGTACCTTTGTTCATAAGCATTTTTAATGGATTTTGAAGAAAACAAGGTATGTATTTATAAGGTCCCCTAAATTAAGGTAATTTGGGTTTTGATTTATGCTGTTCAGTTTTGTATTTATGGAGATGGTGAGGTTAGTACCTCCTCTGTGAACCCAATAGGCTTGGTGTGAAAGTCAGGTATGATTATGGCTGGAAAGGGCTTTGCACAAAGTGTAATGGGATCATGAACATTTCAGCTGTAATCAAGTGACACTTGTCAACAGCTGTTATATACCTGACACACTTTTTTGAACAGAGCTTGAAGCATCTTCCCAGACCTTATTCCCGCATGTTTTCCAGGGTATATTTGATTTGTCTGATAAGGTGGCAGGTGGGAGCTAGTCCTGGATCACAGAGTCCTAAGAAAGAATGGGTATGGCATGGAGTGGCCACTCACGGGCCATGTGCCAAATGGCACTGAGCTGGACCTCAGTAATCGGCATGTAGCCTGTAGCCTGGTTTCTGCTGCTCTCTCCACCTCTGTCCAGAGGTGATGCGTTTGTTGGCATCCTGAGGTCTGATGACCAGCACCCCTTCCACAAGGAAGAGAGGCACCCACTGCAGGCCACTTTAAACATGACAGGTGGTCTGTGATATAAATTCATGTATTGTCTTTGATACAGTCTGTCTCTGGCTCACTTCCTAATAGTTTTAGGTTTGTCGTTGAGTGGCTGAGTGCCTAAAGATTGCTCTTCCTGTTTCCCTGTCTTGATTGAGATAACCACCACGTTCTCTGCAGTATTCTAGCCTGGAAGCCAAACTCTGCCAGATAGAAAGTAAATACCTGATACTGCTCCAAGAAATGAAGACACCAGTGTGCTCAGAAGACCAGGGGCCCACCCGGGAGGTCATAGCCCAGTTGCTGGAGGACGCTCTGCAGGTTGAGAGCCAAGAACAGCCAGAGCAAGCATTTGTTAAACCTCATCCTGTCAGGTAAAGGTGCTAGTGACTGTTGGGGATAGTGCGTCCCGTTTCTGAAGTCCCTTTCTCACAGAGAGCTGTGCACAACTCTGTGTCTCATTTGGTGCCCACGACAGATGCTGTCAGGTCAGCAGAACAGGCAATGTCTTCATTCTCCCATAGAAATCAAGTCATAGAGCTGGGACCCACCACAGGTCTTCTGATGCAAGACCTGTTTCTCATGTAAGTGAGAGAACCTTCCTTCCGATCCTTCCTTCCTCCAGAAGGAGCCAGTCTCCAGGGAATACGAACCTTTTCCTAAAACAGGCGTCCCCAAACTACGGCCCACGGGCCGCATGTGGCTCCCTGAGGCCATTTATCTGCCCCCCCCGCCGCACTTCAGGAAGGGGCACCTCTTTCACTGGTGGTCAGTGAGAGGAGCACAGTATGTGGAGGCCCTCCAACGGTCTGAGGGACAGTGAACTGGCCCCCTGTGTAAAAAGTTTGGGGTCGCCTGTCCTAAAACATAGCCCTACCCACAGGTGGTTGAAAACAGAGGGGGCCCCTAAATGAAGGACTGAGCTTAGACACATGCACACACACACACACAGACACACACACATGCACGCACACACAGACGCACACACATGCACGCACACACGTGCACACACATGCACACACACACAGGCACTCACGGCATATATTTTTGGGGAAAGCGCTGAATCTGGAAGCCCACGATAGATTTTGGATCAAGAACCATCTCATAACCTGTTTTCTAAAAAGCGAGACTCATGAAATTGTTGAACCAGGAGAAATCTGCAGATGCCCAGGGTTTAGTCTTCTCTTGGTTCCGCTCCTCAGGACCAGCCCTATGTCCAGGCCTTGCTTACTGGGTCTCTTTGCTTGTCCTGCCCCACCCTGCAGGCCAGGTAAAGCCCTGCTTCAGTGTGACATGACCTTTCCCTTCTCTGAGCCGGCCTGCATTGTTTGGGCTTACTCAGATGGCAGTTAGAAATAGGCTCAGCAAGTGCCCGACTCCATCGTTTCTGAACTCTGTTATGGAGGTCTGCCATGTGCCAGGAACTGTGCCAAGTGTTTTATGTGTAGGGTTGTACTTAATACTCAGTGAGGTGGGTGCTTTTATGCTCACTTTGCAAGTGAGGAAGCTGGGTTTGGAGGTGATAGAACTTGCCCGGAGTCACTCAGCCTGTGAGTGGCGAGGACAGGCCCTCAGCCTGGATAGTTGGGTTCCCAGGTGCAGGAGTGCCACCTGCATGCTGGGCGTTGGGCTTTGCTCAGCGTGGTGGCTGTTAACCTCTGTGAACGTTGGAGCACTTCGGAAGGTGTTGCGTGGTATTCTCATGTAAAAGCGTTCTGTGCTCTTACTATTTATGTCGTATGTTCAGATTTTATGTATAAGTAGAATAACCATGTATATTGGTTTATTTTCAACTTTTTCCTATGGAAAATTTAAAACATACAAAGAAGTAGAGAGAATCATGTAACATCCCCCTGTGTGCAACTAACTTGAGCAATTATTAATGTTTTGCCAATATTGTTTTATCTTACCTCCTGACTGTCCACAGTTTTTTTTTTCTGGAATATTTTAAAGCAAATGTCAGATGTCACATCATTCTACCTGTAATCACTTCAGTGTGTATTCCTGACTGATGATACCTTTTTACATACCAATCCCAGATACGTATCATTTGGAAACTTAACTTCCTTCAACATGATTTTCTGAAATGATCCATGTTGATACAAGTTACCCCTGAGCTATCTTTTTTAAGAGATGGGGTCTCACTCTGTTGCCCTGGCTGGCCTCAAACTCCTGGCTCAAGCACTTCTCTTTCATCAGCCTCCCAAGTAGCCGGGCCTACAGATGCGCGCGACCAAGGACACTTACCTGTTTCGTAGAACATGATTGTGTGAATCTGCTGCAGGGTCTTCATTCTTTCCCCTCAGGGAGGACCGTTAGGGCCCTTCCATTTTTCCCTTTGACAGTGGTGCAAGGACCAGTCATGGCCCCTTGTGCCCACATGAGAGAGTTTCTCTAGGGAGCAGGCTAGAAGTGCAATTCCTGGCATATAGAAAATACATACCTTTATCTCTGCTAGATCTGAGTTCCAAAGTACTTAAGTAAGTTGACGCTCAGCAGCAGTGCGTGAAAGGCCTTTGTCATTTTCTTTCAATGGTAGCACAAATTATCATTAACATAGTGGCTTAAAACAGCACAAATTTATCGCCTCATAGTTCTGTAGGTCTGTAGCCCAACCTGGGTCTCATTGGATTAAAATAAAGGTTTAATTAGGGGCTGCTTTTCTTTCCGGAGGTTCTGGAACAGTTAATTTCCTTGTTCATTTCAGCTGTTGGCAGGATATAGTTTCTTGCAGTTGGTCATGGGACTCGGCCCCTGTTTCCTTGCTGGCTGTCAGATGTGGGTGGCGGCTTCTAGAGCCCCCCGCATTCTCTGGCCTGTGGCCCCTTTTCCCATCCTCAGGGGCAGTAGATCAGGTCCAGCCCATCTCTCCTGCCTGAGGTTTCTGACTGATTCTTCATATTCAGGCCCACCAGATATCCCAGATAATCTTCGTGTTTTAAATTCTGTAGTCTTAACTGCATTAACATTCCATTAATAACATTCCTATTGCCATGTAACGTAACAGAGTCATAGGTTCCAGGACCTGGGACGTGAACATCTTTATCCCTAATAGCTTATAAATACATTCTTCCTTGTTTTTTTTTTTTTAACCTTTTGAAATGATATTTTAAAGCATAAAGTTACACATATGAAGCATATATATGATAAAGAAACATACACACACATTAATGTAGCCAGATTTATCAATCTTGTTTTTGTGCTGTTGACTGTATTTTCTTCCATGCTTTTCATATTTTCAGTTTTAAACTGAAATATGAAAATAGTAACAGGAAGAGATCTAATTTAATTTTTCGTTATAGATAGCCAGTCGTCCTAGCTTTATATACTGAGAAGTCGATTATTTCCTCACTGCTCTGAAATGCTTTCTCATAGTGCAGTGTATCACGTGTGCGTGGATTGGTTTCTAGGCTATTTCTGTCGCATTGGTCTTTGTTGCTAAACCTTTGTCATTTTAATTTTTCCTTTTGTGTTTACCAACAGTGAATATGATATTTATGGGTTCAGGACTGTACCTGAGGATGATGAGGAAGAGAAGCTGGTCGCCAGGGTCCGTGCGTTGGACCTGAAGACTCTGTACCTGACAGAAAACCAGGAAGTCTCCACCGGGGTCAAGTGGGAAAACTATTTTGCGAGTACAGTGAACAGGGAGATGATGTGCTCTCCAGAACTGAAGAACCTGATCCGCGCGGGCATTCCCCACGAGCACCGCTCCAAGGTGTGGAAGTGGTGTGTGGACCGCCACACCAGGAAGTTCAGGGACAACACCGGGCCTGGCCACTTCCAGACCTTGCTGCAGAAGGCGCTGGAGAAGCAGAACCCGGCCTCCAAGCAGATTGAGCTGGATTTGCTGCGAACTCTGCCCAACAACAAACATTACTCCTGCCCCACCTCGGAGGGCATACAGAAGTTACGCAACGTCCTCCTCGCCTTCTCCTGGCGGAATCCAGATATCGGGTACTGCCAAGGCCTTAACAGGTGGGTGTGTGGTGTAAAGTGTTCCCGTTTGCCATCAGGCAGCTTGTAGGCACCAGTGCCGCCTGGCAGCTCTATCCTTTCCTGGTTGGCCAAGAAAACGCAATCGTTGCAGCAAGTCAGTTTTCACGACACAATACCCCACTTCTAGAAGAACTGAGAGAAACTTGCTTTCAGAAAGTATGAACACAGAGTTAAACTCATTTGAAACTACTAGGAGTCTCATATTTTGTTTGCTCTCATCACACTCGGGTTTTGATCAGAAGTTTGATTTTCCTAGTTTAACTACACGGAGTGGAAATTAGTGGTCACCCCTGGTTTATGCAGTCTACAGGATCTTTTTGTGAAGCAAGAAGTCGCCCCAAACAGTTATTCAGCCAATTGAAACTTAGCCCTCGGTGGACTTAAACTTGTTTCCTTTTAAACTAGAATCTTTAATCTTGCATACTTCCCTACTTTCATAGGCAGAGGATGCTGAAAGGCCTCTCACATTTTCTTGGTGATCCAGGCTCATCCTCCTGAGCTGTGCAGGGATGGGATGAGGCCTCGGGAGGACTCAGGTCTGCTCCCCATGAAGCTCTTCCTGTCACTGGACTTGGCTCTGACCACTTCTTACCGGGCTGGCTCACTTTCTGCTTCCTGCTGTCCTTGCAGTTGGCCATGTATATTTCTCTCTGAGTAATAGTAGGTAACTAAGCTTGTTAGAAATATGGATAAAGGTTGAGTTTGGTGGCTCACACCTGTAACCTCAGCACTTTGAGAGGCCAAGGTGGGGGAATCACTTGAGTTCAGGAGTTTGAAACCAACCCGGGCAACATAGTGAAACCCCGTCTCTATAAAAAAATACAAAAAATTGGCTGGGTATAGTGGTCATGCCTGTGATCCCAACACTTTGGGAGGCCGAGGCAGGTGGATCATGAGGTCAGGAGTTCAAGACCAGCCTGGCCAACATGGTGAGACCCCTGTCTCTACTAAAAATACAAAAATTGGCCAGATGTGGTGGCACATGCCTGTAATCCCAGTTATTCGGGAGCTGAGGTGGGAGAATCACTTGAACCTGGCGGGCAGATGTTGCAGTGAGCCAAGATCGCAGCCACTGCTCTTCAGCCTGAATGACAGAGTGAGACTTTGTCTCAAAAAAAAACAAAAACAAAAAATTAGCTGGATGTGGTGGCATGCGCCTCTAATCCCAGCTATTTGGGAGGCAGAGGTGGGAGGATCGCTTGAGCCCAGGAGATGAGGCAGCAGTGAGCCGTGGTCACACCACTACACTCCAGCCTGGGCAACAGTGAGAATCTGTCTCAAAAAAAAAAAAAGATACGGATAAAGTAAGAATGAAAAAGCTCTGCATGTGTATCGTAGGACTTCTGTACGCCGTGCATGAGGTGGCGTTCTCGGTGCTGGCGTTTGTCCTGGCTGCCCACAGGCCTTTTTGCTCCTGCACCATGCCAGGCATTGACCTCCATTTCTATTTGTGTCTGAAATGGAGTATTACAGGAAGAAAGGGTTTAAGCTGGAATGTTACTTGGTTAAGACCTGAAACCAAACGGGTTCCAGGAAGTCATCGTCTCGGTGGTGGTGAGGATAGGGCAGCCTCTCTGAGCCCTCAGAAAGGGAGAGGGACTATCGCTGCTCCTAGACAGTCTCCATTTTAAAAAGCCTGCCTGGTAAAGCAGTTTCGTTTTGCTTAAATGCACCATTCACGTTGTATACTCAGTCTGAGAATTCCTGGAAGCTGGAAACCCCTGAAACTAAGTGTCCTGGTGAGGACCTGAGCGTGCCCGTTTGGGGCACGGTAATGCCCATTTATCTGGCATTGTCATGGAATCCATTTTTTCATACATAAATGACACTTCCAGGTAATTGAAACTTTCTCTCTACAATTCCACCCCGTCGCCATTAAAACCTCTGAATTGTGACCATTTTGTAACCATTTTATGGGACTTCCTCTTCAAAATAATTTGTATGTGTGTCCACGCCTTCTGAGCACCCAGAACTTTAGCAGGACAGCTGCAGCCTTGTCTAGATAACTGTGATCTGGGCCTGTCATCTGGAGTATTGGTGATTTCAGTGATGTCCTCAAAGGCTCTGCTCCTTCTGGCACCGTCGAGTGCTGTGGGTTTGGTGTCTGTGCCTTTGTGTGCTGTTTTCCTCTCGTCTGTCTCTGCCGGTGGTCACCTTTCTCCTTTGCATCCCATCTCTGCCTACTTGAGACATCCCCTTCCCACCTATCCAGGACTTATTTACTCATTTTCCATTTAATTTGAGATGACTTCATTATAGGATTTTTTTTTTTTTTTGAGATGGAGTCTTGCTCTGTCGCCCAGGCTGGAGTGGAGTGCAGTGGCGCGATCTCAGCTCACTACAACCTCCGCCTCCCAGGTTCAAGCGATTCTCCTGCCTCAGCCTCCCGAGTAGCTGGGATTACAGGCACATGCCACCATGCCAGCTAATTTTTATATTTTTAGTAGAGACAGGGTTTCACCATGTTGGCCAGGCTGGTCTTGAGTTCCTGACCTAGGTGATCTGCCTGCCTTGGCCTCCCAAAGTGCTGAGATTACAGACATGAACCACCACGCCTGGCCCATTATAGTTTTATCTAAGGAAAAACATTGTGAGAAATGGCTTCAAGGGTTTTCCCATGAGTGTTGCTCATAAGCTTCATGTCATGGGCAGAGGTTTGGGGTTTCAGCTGAGAAGAGGGAGGCCCGTCTCTCACGTCTTCCTTTCCATGCTGCTGCTCCAGATGCCCACCTGGAGGCATACCAGGGCTACTGATGGGTACCCTCTTGATGAGAGACAGCATGTAAATAGCTGACCCCAGTTTCTGTTACAAACAACATAGCAACTGAGTTCTTCTCAAACGATGAACTCAGTCAGCTGCACTTGCAAAATCTTAAAATGAAAAGTTTTGTTTAAAATGAGGGTGGTTGATCATTAGGAAGCAATTTCATCTTTGAACAAAAAGCAAGTGAAAGTCGGGGAAGGTAGCTTTGCTTCTCAAATTTTAGGAAATACCTTATTTGCAAAGGAACACTTACTCTTTTTTCTTCCTTTTTTTTTTTTTTTTTTTTTTTTTTTTTTTTTTTTTTTCCTAATGAGGCAGGGCCTTGTTCTGTCGCCCAGGCTGGAGTGCAGTGGTGTGATCATCCCTCACTGTGGCCTCCGCCTCCTGGGCTCAAGCGATCCTCCTGCCTCAGCCTCCTGGGTAGCTGGGACTACCAGGTGTGCTTCACCGCCCCTGGCTGATTTTTGGTCTTCGTTTTTTAGAAATGGGGTCTTGCTATGTTGCCCAGACTGCTCTTGAACTCCTGGCCTCAAGTGGTCTTCCTGCCTTGGCCTCCCAGAGTGCTGGGATAGCAGGCATGAGCCATTGATCCAGGCCCTCTTATTCTTTATTGTTGGCTGTGAGAGAGGAAGTGGCCTAGCGCAGACGGGGTGTGTGCAGACTGTGGCAGCAGCCGTCCGTGCCCGGGCGCTCATCTTGTCCTCGCTTTGCTCGTAGGTTGGTGGCGGTGGCCCTCCTGTACCTGGAACAAGAAGACGCCTTCTGGTGTCTCGTTACCATAGTGGAAGTTTTCATGCCTCGAGACTATTACACAAAGACTCTTTTAGGATCACAGGTAAGTTTCGAAAATTCTGTGCCTCAGTCGCCAGTTTCAGAATTGCAGCTGAAATGTGACCTGAATTAAACCTGTGGTTGGGGTGCGGTGGGGGGGCCTTGTGTTCGTGACTTCAGAGACTGATGCCTGAAGATGGCAGGCATGTCTCAGACCGGCCCCAGTCGGGGCCTGCTGTTTGTGACGGAGGCCAGGTTGGGCTCCTTCTGCCCCCTGGGAACCAGCAGAGAGACAGACCCGTCGTGCAGGCCGAACGCTGTGCTCACCGCGCCGCGCGCTCTTCCCCAGACGCAGGCTCACCGGCAGGCTGAGTCAATCCAGGCGTGGTTGGGGGGCGGGTGTGTTAGCGCAGGCTCTCAAGAAGCAGATGCTGGGGTGCGATGAGTCAAACCAGAGACTTCTACGGGGAACCGCTGTGGAGGACAAGGGACAGAGAGGCTCCAGCCCCAGGAAGGGAGAAGGATGGGGAAGAGAGTCCCAGACCCCGTGCGGTGGCCACTGAGCAGTCCTGAGGAAGTCTGGGCGGGGCCAGTGGGGTCCCATCAAACCAAGGATGGTGGCCAGGCACCCGCCTCCAAAGACGGGCTGCGTTCGTGCGGCCACCGCACCCATGCGCTGCAGCTGGGGGCCGACGCGGTGATGCACCAGACGGGCAGCGGCAGGGCTCGCGGTCACCTCCCACGGGGCATCTGAGTGGCGCACTTCATGCCGTCCACACCTGGAGTCTGATGCCAGGGCCTAGGGCAGGGCGCCATGGGCTGGGAGAGCCCAGTGTTTCTGTCTTTGCTTGAGACGGTCCTGACCCTGGACCGGACCCTTGGCCCTTTGTGTCTTCCCTGGGCTGAGCTGGGGCTGCTGCCGGCACTGGCTTCCCCATAGGCTGGCCCTTGGCATGTGGCACCTCAGGCACCTTCTGTCTTAACCACGGCTGTGCCCGCATGTGCCCGCTCCATCGCATGTCTCTTCTCCAGGTCTGTGCCCCCCCCGGCCTGCCTGCCCACAGTCTCTCCTTGCCCTTCCCCTGCACCTCCTGGTGTTTCGAGGCCTGGCCCTGCAGGCCAGTAGGAGGTGCTGGGCGGAGACTGGAGGTGGCCGAAGGGGCTGAAGGGGTTTCCCTCCGCGTTGCAGGCACTGCCTCTGAAGGTGGCTTTGTCTCCTCTGTGCCCAGCTCCTGTCCGTGCGTCCTGCGTGCCAGCAGCTGACCCCACCTGCTCCCTTCATCTCTCCCGCCACGGTGGCTTTCTGCCCTTGCTGAACTCTGAGCTGCCTCCCTGTCAGCTGTTTGGCTTCTCAGCTTTTCTGCCACTGGTGTGACCAGCCCCTGGATGGCATTCCCTCAGCGACACCCATTTAGAGGGACCCTGAGCGGGTGTCCTTTGCGGGGAAGGTGGTCATTATCGCCTCTGCTGTGCTGCTCCCCTCTCCGGCTCCCCAGGCTGGGGACTCAAGCTGTCCTGGACTCCTGCCTCCCTCTCCTGTATCCCTGTCACCACCATTTCTAGTGCTGCCACCTGCCCCAGGGCAGACCTGCTGCTGGTCCCGCTGCTCCAGCACAGGCCTCCGGGACAGCGGCCACCGGACCGGATCATCCTGTGTGCCTGCGTGTCCTCCGGCGAGTCAGTGGTACCTGAGGGCCACCTCCCTGTCTTCCTGTTAGTATTCCCGGCACCCCACACAGTGAATGTCTGAACTTACATGAGCTACTCTGTGATCAGGGAAAGGGAACTGGCATCTACTGAGCCCTGGCCCGGTGCCAGCAGCTGTACCCTGCACAGAGCCCTGCATGTCTGCACGGAGCCCCGCGTGCCTGCTCGGAGCCCTGCACGGTGGAGCCGTCAGTGTCCCCACTTGACTTGGGAGAAAACTGGGAGTTGGAGACATTAATAAGCAACTTGCCTGAGGTGCCACCGCTGATGGGCCGAGCTGGGCTTGGAACTCAGGCCGCCATAGCTCTGGGCCTGAGCCCGCCCCTCCCTGCCCGCTGCCTCCTAGAACGTCACAGGAGGGTGGCTGAGTTGGAACTCTGGCCTTCCCGGAGAGTGGCTTTTGCCACAGCTGCCCTCTTCAGGTCCCTGCCCCCGTTTCACAGATATCAGTGGATCCCAGGGGAAGCTCGTTTGGTCTCCCTATGATCACTTCATCCGCTAATTACCCCAGAAATGTATCGTTTGGTTGCGTTGGTGTGTAGGAAATGAACAGCAACAGGAAGAGGCGGCAGTCAGTCAGGTGGGATTAGAGGGTCAATAAAGAAAGTTCTGTGAATTCATGGGCACTTGAAAGCTAATTGCTTTCAGAGATTCAAATATAAAATATCAAGTGACTCAGTGTTTCAGAATAAGAAAAATGAAGCATTGATCTTTCTTAATTCCACTGAGGTGTGGTCAAGCACATCCGTCAGGAAATTGGGCGGAGGGTCACAGCCCCGGCCCTACCTCCTGTGAGCTGTGTCGCTTGCTCACATCATTTAACATCTCTGTGCCTTAGTCTCCCGTATGTAAGATGAGAGTAATGTTCCCCTGACGTAGCTTATTTGAGGTTGAATTCAGATGATGCATTAAAAAAGTTTAATGCTCAGAACATGGTAAAAACTCAGCAAAAGTCGGTAATACGGTTATAGGGGAAGACCTATTTTAAATGTCTGGATTTATTAAAATTTGCATCACTTTGTCATATAAACATAAATGTGAATTCTAAGGAGGCTTTTCCCCACTGACTGTACAAGTAATAGATGCTCACTAAAGGAAGTCAGGCAATGTAGAAAGATGTTAAGAAGAAAATGAAAGGCCGGGCGCGGGGGCTCATGCCTGTAATCCAAGCACTTTGGAGGCCAAGGCGGGCGGGCGGATCACCTGAGGTCGGGAGTTCAAGACCAGCCTGACCAACATGGTGAAACCCCGTCTTTATAAAAAAAAAAAGAAGAAAATGAAAATGACCTCTTATCCTACCAGCTAGAGAACCATGGTTAGCATTTTGATCTATTTCCTTTTGCTCTTCTCCCCCTGGTTCATATAGGCATCCAAACTGAGAGCACGGCGTATCCTGACTGGTTCACGTTATAGCATGAGCATTTTCCCATGTCGTTTTATACTTTGTAGGCCACCATCCTACTTGGTGGCCTAATATTCCATCAGGTGGTGCTAGAATGTGTTTAATCACCCTCCCGTTTATCAGTGGCCATTGCGTAAGGCTGCTGGTAAAATGCGGGTAGCTTCGTGTGTGCCGTCAGCCCCCAGCACTGGGCTTTGCCAGTCACTGTCAAACTGCCTCCTGCCAGAGCCAAGTGCCCGAGCCCCGTGCGCACTGTTCCTGCAGTCTGCACGCTTGTCAGCTTTTCCGTTCGTGCCAGCCTTTGAGTGCATGTTCTGTGCCAGGACCTTACTAGGCGCTAAGGACACAGAGATAAATGACACAGTTATTCCATGTCCTCCAGAGCTCAGTGGGGGAGGGAGCTTGAACAGAGGCCAGAGCGTTCCCTGGCAGCCGGGTCCACACCAGCCCTCCACCAAGCACCCGGGCAGCCTCAAGAGTGAGACAGAGTCTGCCACCTAGTTGGGAGAAGAGATGTGTACCAGGATCTTCTCCCACGTCAGGGCCAGCTGACCGCCCCTCCCTCTTGGGCGTCTTCCGCGGGATCCTCCAGGCGGAACGAATCACGTCGTGATCAGCTGCTCTTACAGTGAGCGCTCCGTCTCCCCGGCCACTTTACAGCTCCGTAAAGGCAGCTCCTGGCCGGGCATGATGTATGGGAAGATACGTGCAGTCGACCCTTGAACAACACGGGTTTAAACTGCATGCGTCTACTTACATGTGGATTTTTTCAACCACACACAGATTGAAAATACAGTATTCACAGGACGCGTGAAACCCTCTTATGCGGAGGGCCAGGATGTCAACGGCAGGACCTGAGTGTGCTGTGTGCTGCAGGGGGTGGTCTGGGAACTGATCCCCACATGCAGCAAGGGACAACTGTAGCTGTTTCTCACACTGTGGATAGAGAAATTGGCTTACGAGGTTGGGACTAGGGTTTTTTTCCCCCCATCACATCCAGTTGATTAGAATTAAAAGCATCAAAGCGTAATCTACTGTGTGAGGTCAAGTACTGTTTTGTGAAACATTGGTTTCTGTTTTACACGTGTGCACGCTGGTTCGTGTGGACTGGGTGATGGTTGAAGACGAATGTTTTTATGTGAGTCACAGACAAAGGCTGGGAAAGCCCCTGGCTGGCAGGATGGTGTGTTGACCCCTCGGTGTGGCACAGGGCCTCTGCGGCCCGCTTCCGCCAGGCTGTGCCGCCTCACCTCCCAGCCCCCTTGCCTGGAAGCCTGAGCTCTGGCTGCAGGAGCGGTTTCTCCTCGGGGCTTGGCCGGGACCTGTCCGTGGCTCCACAGAGCTGTATGAACACGTCGTGACCCAGGCCTGGCCGTGGTTGGGATGGCCCATGCGTCCGGCTTTCCCCTCTTGTCTTTTAACTCTTTGAGGTCAGGGTTGAACCTCGGTCAGCGCTCTGCCCAGCACAGGCCCCGTGCGTGATGGAGCAGCAGTAACCAGGTATTGCTCATCTGTCATGCGATGGGTAAAGAAAGGTTAGTAACTGTTTCCAGATGAAGCACAGAGCCGTTTAGTGCATAATATGCTAAAAGCCACCCAGCTAGTAAGTGGTAGAGCCGAGATTCAGACGCAGGTCCATGTGACTCTAGAGTCCTCACCCTCCCACTGCGCGTGCAGCCCAGCAAATGCTTGTTGAATGGACGTGGTGATGCTGCTTCCTTTGGCTGAAGCCTCCCATCTGCCTGGGATTCCACTTTGTGGCCCTTCGTGTCAGCGTCTCCTGTACCTACATGAGGACTGGCAAGGCTGACTGTCCCACCTGCTCCTTGCAGTGACCTATTTCCCAGGCGTTTTGAGCACAGGAGTTGGCTCCGGGTTCCAGACGCCCCACTCCCATTCCCCGTGGAGAGCGTGCTGTTGAGCAGACACTCAGTGTGTCTGTGCAGTGCCCTAGGTCAGCGCTGCCGGAACGCAGGCGTCCGGCTCTGCGATGGGCCCGGAGCACGTTTGGAACAGCTGTGCCGCTGTCACGTGGGCTGCACCTCCAGGCCGTCCGGCTGTGCATCTGCTCGCCGGCTTGCCCGGTGTCCTGGCAGGCCCCACACGCTTCTGCCCTTTGTTCCCTCTCCAGGTGGACCAGCGGGTGTTCAGAGACCTCATGAGTGAGAAGCTGCCTCGGTTGCATGCCCACTTTGAACAGTACAAAGTTGACTACACCCTCATCACTTTCAACTGGTTTCTGGTGGTGTTTGTGGATAGCGTCGTTAGTGACATCCTCTTTAAAATATGGGACTCTTTCCTTTATGAGGGACCAAAGGTGAGTTCATTTAGCTCAGCTATTTTTAGATACACACGCTTGACAACTGTTGGCAGCATTGGTGGCGGTAGAGTGGCGGGCTCACCTCGTGAGGGATACCACAGTGCCCAGGGGATCTCAGCACAGCCTGCGCCAGAGCTGGGTCCAGGGTGTCAGGAAACCGCAGTCATTGGTTCATTTATCGGAAACAGTCAGCCCGCACCAAGCCCCGTGGGAGGCGCCGGGAGCTGTGGCTGTGGTTTGAGCGTGAGCCTCACCATCTGTCAGATGGCTGGTGGTGCTGCCCATCGTATGGAGGAGGAGATGGAGGCCTAGAGAGTGAATCAGCAGGGGACCAGGGGCTCGAGCTTCAGAGCCTGGCTGCCCGTGAGCCTCCCACCTGCTCTGTTGTGTGCTGTTTAAGAATTGGATTTTGAATAAGGAATATATTTACATGTTAACTTCTAATCACATAAACAGGGGTGTGTAATGAACTGGAGGCCCCCCTTGTCTTCTAGTTACTCTTCTCCGTTTATTGTATGTCTTAGCTGGGCACAGTGGCCTGTGCCACTTGTCTCAGCTAGTTGAAAACCTGAGGCAGGAGGATCATTCGAGACCAGGAGTTCAAGTCCATCCTGGACCGGAAAGCAAACGAAATAAGAGAAAGTGCAGGCTGGCGCAGGCCCTTAGATATGGGGAAGTAGTTTGTTCCAAAGCTGCTTGAACTCGCAAGACTCCTAGGAGTCCATTTCCAAACACAGATCGATTTTAAAAAAATCCTCTCCCATCTTCAGAAGCTCACTAGTTGGGATGGAAACTGCCTCTGTAGGTGGGACTTTCTAAGAGTTTCAGAATCAGAAAAGCTTGGTTTTGGTTTTATTTTAAAATGATTCCTTACATTTGTTCTTTTTGCTTTATTGATTAGAAATGCTAGCTGCGTATGAAGGGATTCCACAGAGATCTCCATAAGGAGGTTTTTGGTTGGGGCTGATGTGTTGTTGGAAACCACCAGAGTTTTTTTTCCTGTGTAAAGGAGTCTTGGCCTAGCCAGCGAAAATTGCCCCTTGGACCAAGTCTGTCCCCAGGGCAGGGACTGTGCAAGCCATGTCCCCAAGTCCCCAGGGGGGCCAGCACTGCCCTGGAGTCCAGCCTTGTGCTTGGACCCACAGGTTTTTCCACTAATAGATTTCCCTGTTGATCCCACAGGTTATTTTCCGTTTTGCCCTGGCACTTTTTAAGTACAAGGAAGAGGAGATCTTGAAACTGCAGGATTCGATGTCCATATTCAAGTATCTCCGCTCCTTCACTCGCAGCGTCCTCGATGCTAGGTGAGTCCTGCGGAGGTCTCCGATGTCAAGGAGAGCAGGAAGCCTGGCCCCTGCCTCCCTGAGAGCAGCCCGTCCTTTCGGTCTGCAAACTCAGAGGCATCCCGGGGGTACAGTGTGGGAGAGGGAATTGCTTTCCAGGGAAAAGAGAGAGCAAGCGGTGTGAGCCCCAAGTAGCCTTCCGAGGGAGGAACTGAGATGAGGATTCTGTCCTTTGTCCTGCAAACATAAATCCCTACAACCAACAGCAATCGTTTCATTTGTCTGGAAAGCATTTACTGAGTGCCCACTGCATGGCAGGACCCGTGCCAGGCACTGAGGATGATGGGTGGAGAAAAGGGCCTGTCCTGGAAGCCCTTGCTGGGGACACTGTTGTACAGCATTTGCTCACTGCTGTGACAGAGGGTGCCCAGGCCGGAGAAAGGCTGAGGAAGTGGGCGGCGGCAGCGAGGAGACAGTCGGGGGGCAGGGGTCCTTCAGGAGCAGCGCGAAGCTGTGGGGCACGTGTGTTTGGGGAAGTGGGGTGGCGGCTGAGCCCGGCTGGCGCCGATGTGGCTGGGCCGTAGCAGAGCTGGGTTGTCAGGGCGCTTACAGATTGCACTCGGGACTCGAGGCTGCATCCTGAGAGTTCAGGGAAGTCCCTGCAGGGTTAGGCAGGAGACACACAGGTCAGATTGGGGCAGGACTGGTGGCTGTTAGAGGGCTCTAGGGACAGAGGTGGAGAAGAAGGGCACATGGGAGAGAGGGAGGGGGGAGCTTGACTTGTGAGACCCCTGCGTTCCTGGCCTGCGCAGCCAGTGTTCAGGAGCCCTCCCTGGCCGCCCGGTCATTGCCTGTTCCGGGCCACCCTCATCCATACGTCCCCTGGACCGCAGCTGTTGGCTGCTCTGGCCCTGAATGCTGAGGTGGACACTGGGAGCTGAAGGGGCCAGCTGAGGCCATGCCAGGCTTCCTGGAGGTTGTCACCACTTTTAGGGTCTTTTATTGGGGAGTGGGTTTGTAGTAGTTTCAGGCTTACTAACAGTGCCCTGAGTTCTGGCAAATGAGAAGGGATATCGGAATCATATTTGCTGGGGAAAGTTTGATTCTGAGTTTTGGGGTGAGCCTGGAGAGCTGCTGTTCATCTCACGTTGGGTCAAGATTGCTGAGAGTGACACAGAGTGAGCTTGCCCATGCCAACAGCGAGGGCTCTGTTCAGAGCACCGGTGCCCACAGTTCTGTGCTGGGTCACAGGCTCTGCCAGGAGGGGCGGAGGCGGGTGGGTGGGGGCTCTGGCGAGTGCCCCACCTGTTCCTGGCACAGCAGGCTGACCTGGCCCCTCCCACACTGCTGGGCCTTGTGTGGTCCTGCCGCGCCACCTTGTGACCAGCTCGTGGTACCATCTCCCGTGCAGCTTGCTTTAGAAGGCAGGGTTGCTAGACTAACGGGTGCTTTAAGGAGTGCCAGGCTTGGTGGCAGGCTCCCCGATGTTATCAAGACTGCAGGAGCCCTGGACCCGTCTCTGGGCTGGAGCCCGTGTTTTAAGCAGCTCCCCAGGCTAGTGTTTGCAAGGAGGCCAGTGCTGCACAGAGGGAGGGAGTTGCGTACTGAACTGCATTCAGGAGTTGGGGGCTAACAGGATTGAACTCGGCTCTGCAGCAGGACTTCTGGGAGCCTTTTACGGTGCTGGACATCATCTCCTAAATTTAGCTGACCATGGGGCACCTTCTCATCCTCCAGCAGAACCTTCCAGGCCTGAGGCAGAGGTGGAGTCTGCTTTCCCGGGTGCCAGCCTGGGGCGAGGGGCCTCTGTCAGCTGAGGAGCAGATAAGGAATCACACTTGGGGCTTGCGCTCTGCAGTGTAGGAGAGCTGGGTGCTGGAGGTTTGGGGTTTGTGGGGGCTGTGGGGGGGCCCTGCACCCTGTTCACATGGAGCCTCCTTCTGTCTGGTGGGTGGCAGCCTGGTCCTCGGAGCCAGGCAGGAGGTGGAACCTGGGAAATCCCCACGCAGGGTCCCCTATGCTCGGGCCTCTCCTGTTCTCTGGCTCTGGTTTTGTTTTACTAAGCCACTGACCAGCGGGTAGGCGCCGGTGACCACAACCTTAAAGTTTTGATTGTAAATTGGTGCCTTCACCTAGGGAGAATGTGAATCCCATGCGCTGCACATTTCTCTGTGGACAGCATCTGGACTCTTGTCACATTGCTGACTGGTCTGACAGTCGTCGCCGGGACTGCCGGGGCCTGTGTTCATGCCCAGTCACTCAGTCCTGGGACAGAGATGCCCCGGACTCATGCCCGGTGCCCCGCCTTGTGCCTGCCCGAGGATGCAGACACCCCTGCACCCGCTGTCACCATGCAAGGCCAGGCGCTCTTCTCAGCGCTGGTGTGGGGGGGCTCTAGTAATCCCACTCCCTAGGAGCGGCACCACTGTTACCCCAGTGTGCAGATGAGGAATCTGAGGCCAGGAAAGGGGGTGACTTCAGTCACACAGCAAGCATGTGGCAGAGCTGGAGTCCAGGCTGTCATTCTGAGCCTGCCCTGGCAGGGCCACTGTGCTTGTTGCCTCTCTGCAGTGGCAGAGCTGGAGTCCAGGCTGTCAAGCCCCCAGCATGGCCAGCGCTCCTGCCTTCCCACCCTGGGCTGCCTGGCTGTGCCCGTGAGGGCTGTCTGTGAACGCTCACTCTGGCACCACTGATTCTCTTGTCTCTGCCCTGCGCCCTGCCAGGAAGCTGATCAGTATCTCCTTTGGGGACCTGAACCCCTTCCCCCTACGCCAGATCCGGAACCGACGCGCCTACCACTTGGAGAAGGTCCGGCTGGAGCTGACCGAGCTGGAGGCCATCCGCGAGGACTTCCTGCGTGAGCGGGACACCAGCCCTGACAAGGGCGAGCTGGTCAGCGATGAGGAGGAGGATACCTGATCTTCTCCACCTGAGTGGGTCCCTGGATGCTGCTCTTCCTGCCTTCAAACCAAAGTGTGCCCAAAGGGCGAAAACGCGCTGAAAAGCCAGAATGTAATGTGTGTGGCCTCTGGGAATCTGCTGGGCGGATGTCCAGAGCCAGACTGCACTTCCTCACCTCCCACTGCGTGGGGGCAGGGCTGGGAGGTCGGATGTTTACAGCCATCTCCACGCCACGGCTTCTGGTTGCACGTATCCCAGTCGTGCTTTCTGCCTGATGACTGGCAGGATGTTGGGCCTGTTTCCAGCCTCCGGCAGCCCGGCGGGGCCCTGACCCTCTGAAACCTTGCTTTGCTGGGCGTCTCCCCTTGTTCTCTCTCCTGTACACGGTGGGCAGTCGTGTGTGGTTTTGAATGGCAGCACTGGGAAGGATGCCCACTGTGCTTCAGGCACCTGTAGGCCAGAGGGTGGCTGCCTCAGGCATAAGGCTGGTATGAAAATGAACTGCCTTAGAAAAGCAGGCACATCCCTTGTTCAGAAACGGCCACTGTAGAAAGCCCGTGAACCTTCCGCTGGTGGCTTTAAGCTGCCAGCCACTCCCCATTTCTAGAATAGCGTTTGAGCTGGCTATCCAGACACCCACCCTCACTTCCCATGGCCAGCCTGGGCTTGCACATTGCTGGGCTGCTCTGTCCCCAGCTTGGCCCGTGTCGGGCATGGCTCTGTGAGATTCTGTGGAATGCCCTCTTGACTTGCATTCACCAGGTATGATGAGGTGGGATTCCAAGTAAATGGTGAGCCATCACATTGCAAAGCAGGCCTACCCCTGGGCTCCCTGGGCTAGCCTTGGTTGAGGGGAAGGAGGGATCTTTCTGAGGGTGCTTTGCAGGGCAGTGGTGCAGCTGCAGAATGAGTACTCTTGGACAGCTGAAAAACGTGGCCGCCTTGGGGATGGCCAGTGCTCCTGTGTCTGCTCCTCCTGACTGGGTTGTGCAGGAGACCGGCTGCCAGCGCCGGGGCTGGGAAACTCCAGCACTTGGGGCGCAGGCTTGGGGAGCTCTCCCAGATGTGGGCCCTCCCACCACTGCCTAGACGCATCTTTGTTCTCTGCAAGGATGCAGGGTCACTGTTGCCTCTGGCAGTTTCTGGGAACTCGGAGGACTGCCTTTCTGAAGGCCGGAGAAGGCTTTGAGCAAGGAGCTTACTTTCTGTTCAGTCCCTCTAGACCATCCCTGATGCACAGATGTGACAGGGTGTTTTCCGGCACAGTCTTGTTAAAATACGAGAGAAACGGTCTCCGTGGAATGTTTCTCATTACCTGAAAGAAAGCGAAATCATCCTGTTGGTATGAGCGCAGTGAGACTAGGGACCGAAGCAGCGGTTTCAGGAAACGCCTTTCTCCTGTGTCGGCTCCAGCATTGCCGCGCGAAGCTGCCGTTTCCGCACGCCACACCGAGCCCCGGCTTCATGTCCTAGTGGAATTGTTAGTGTTTCTCTGTGTAGAGGGGCTGACTTCCATGTTCAGCCAAAAGCCTTTGCCTGTTGCAGGCATCAGAAATGGGTTTTGTCATTGTCTTTGTCTTTGAGAGCCGCGGATTCCTGAAGGAGTCTGTCCTGTGAGCTGGCGAGTGTTGGAACCCCGCCCCCCAGGCCATCGGGAAGTGGCAGCTGTCAGCCTGGGGGACGGCTGCTCACAGCCGGAATGGGGCTGAGCCTGTGAGCCGGCTCCAGCTGCCCTCAGGTTTTACATTCCAAGCCGTTGGCCCCTGGAACATGCCAGCGCACGCTGCCTGGGGCTAAGACCCTGCCTTAGGGACAGGCTCGAGTTCTCTGGTTTGCTCTGAGAGACGTGCCTGGCCGGAGCCTGTTGTAGCTGCAGCCCAAGGTGCAATGTTAGTGTTTCCAGGCAGTGTGTGTGCGAGAGCAGGAGATGTCCTGGAGGAAGGGGACTGGGGACGCTTTCCTGGAGGTTCTCCTGCCTGGAATGAAGTTCTGTGTGTCCAGAAGGCAAGAGAGGGCGGCTCCGCCGGATTCCAGTTTGGGAACAGGATGAACTAACTCCTCCTTCCGGAACTGTGGGCCCCACTCTTTCGAGCTAATATTTCCCCTCCCTCATGTCATTGAGAAAAGAGCTGCTGTGTCCCCTCCAGGGCCCAAAGGTCCCTGGCCTCCACTGGTGCCACAGCAGGGGGCCGTTCTGGCAGGGGCTTCCGCACGCTGCTGTTCCTCCCCCGAACCTTCGCCGCAGCACCCAGCCCACGGCCCCTGCAAGGGGGACCTTGCTGGCTGTGAAGCCCGAAGCGCGGCCTCCATCTGTCCAAATGCGCATGCCGGGACCGGGGCCTCCCTCCCCACCTGCTGGGAATTGCCGATTTTTAAATGGATGGGGTTTTTTTAATGGGTTGAACCTCTCTGTTAATACTTTTGTATATTTTCACTACAGTTTATATTTTTTTAGGCTATTTTCTCAAGGTGTCTCCAGATTCCACATATCTATTTTATATAACAAGTTCTTAGGTTGTGTGTGGGACTCCCTGGGGTGTATCTGCACCAGTCTGAGCCTCTGAGTTGCTCTCCCTCCGGCCCTGACTCGCGCTGACTCACCGACGTGATGTGCCGGACACGTCTCACCCAGGTAGCCTCGGGCGCTCCCTGTCACCGAGCTGACCGCTGTACGGTAGCAGCCAAGACTGCTGCTGGCTGGAGGCGGCTCTGGCTTCAACTGCGGTGTGATGTGGTGGGCGTGCTGGACAGGTCTCGGTTGGGTTTTCTGACCACGTGCTTGTGTTGCACAGATCCCCCCCCGCCATCCTATAGTGTCATCTTCCTGTGTGTTCCCGGGCTTCTGGGCAGCTGGGCCTGCCCGGGGAAATGCTTGCAGGTGGGAGGCCGTACAGAGACCTAGTGTGTGCCCGAGCGTCCACCGCTGCTGGGCAACTGCAGGATGCCAGGGGCGCCCAGTGACTCTGTCCTTTATATCATAGCAGCGACTGTGCTGACCTTCAAGTTACATTTTGGAATTATAATACTAAAGGAAGAAATAAACTACTAATTTTGTATAATATTCTGCCTTGAAATTCAGTTATAGTCACGTGATGGGGCTCACCCCAAGGGCTTGGAGGGTGGGGCAGGGCTTATTGGTGTTGGGGGGCAAGGAGGGGCCCTCCGACCCAGCTTCTGGGTGTCCCCGCCCTGGGGTGGGTGTATCAGGATGGCTTTGCCAGCAGGGGCAGTCTCGGGAGGCCCCAAAAACCATAGCCAAGCTGCAGGTGTGGGCTGGGGACACCGAGGTGGGAAAGCCGGGAGCTGGAGACTCCCTGTGTCCAGATAACCACCCCCCGGCCCCCCGTCCAGCCACAAAGAACAGACATCCCTCCTTCCGCCAGCTGTGCCATGCCCTGCCTGAGTCACAGGCTTGTCTCCTGCCTGGGCTGATAGCTCAGGCCCAGCTGCCACTGGGGACACCCCAGCCATCAGTGGAAAACACCAAGAATGATTAGGACCAAATGTCTTCCCATGGCGGGGTTTGTAGAGCGGCTCTAGCAAGTATTCCCAGACAGAGCAGCCCAAGGCCTGGCAGCCTTTTCTCTTCTGGGGACACAGATTCAGCGAGGCTGGGAGTTCCTGAAGTCACATGGCACAGCAGTGGTGGCAGAGCTGGGACAGGGACTGGCTCAGGAGCAAGTCGACAGGCCCTGCTCCCCACCCCTTGGAAGGGGTTGTCACCAGGGGCAATTCTGACTAAGGCCTGGGAAGCCATGGCTCAGAGCATGGGTCCCCAGGGTCTCTCTGGGCCGGCCAGGCTGCTGCAGACACAGACAGGAAGCACGCCTGATGCTCCCCCACCCTCGGGCTGCACAGCGGGGCCAGGACTCACGCTAGCTTGCCGAGTGACGTGCTTTTCTGCGTGGCCTCTGGCAGGCTGCCCTCTCTGTGCAAAGCCACTGCTGGGGCCTGCTCGGGGCCTGCTTCTTCCACCTGCTCAGGGCGGCCTAGAGATCGGAGGTGAGCAGTTGGGGCCTAGGATGGCCTGTGTCACCAGGGTATGTGCCAAGGCCACATGCGGTCTCCGGGGCCCCACTCACCTTTTGTCCAGTCATGTCATATGCGGGAAAGTAGAATGTGTGAGGTGGCCCTGGTAGGCTGCAGGGCAACCTCTCTGAACCTTAGCACCCCTGACCTGGAGAAGGGGCGTAACACCTTCCAGAGGCAGGCCTGAGGAGGCCAAGGCTCGAAGCCAGAGGGCAGCGTTGGATCCAGAGCTGGGCGTGGGCCGGGAGGACAGTGTGTGCCCCTTCCTCAGCCTCCCCACCCCCGGCGAGCTCAGATTCCACATACCTTCAAAGCACCTTCACGCCCATCCGTTTCTGCTATGGGTGCCACAGTCTGGCTCCATGGGACTAGATTTTATGGGCGGGGAAGGGGCTGTGGGTAGGCAGGTACCAGGTAGCTGGACCATAGATCAATGTGGTAGGAACCTGGTGCTGGGGCTGGTGGTGGGGAAGGGGCCACTCTGAGGGGCATCAGGACCAGTGGTGTGGGGTATGCAGAACCTGGCGCCCCATCCCAACCACCTTAAGGAGGCTCCAGCAGCTCCCCGCCATGCAGAGGCCCCCGTTCCTAGAGGGCCTCCCGAACCAGCGTTGCAGATCTCCAGCTACTGCTGTCTCTGTCCCACCTGCCCATGGCTCACCCCCAGGACTCGAGAATGGGCACTGGTGGGCTGAGGTTTCTGGAGGAAAGGTCCACCCTGACCCCCTCACATGCCGGTGAAAGAGCGTGCCCGGGGTGATACCCTGCCACCCCATCTCCAGCCTTGGTGTCCCCTGACAGAACCTGGCATGGAACTGCAGTCCCAGGGGCCTCCTGCCAGCCTGCAGCGGCCTCTGCCCCCTACTCCCGGCATGTCCCCCGTCCCAGGGCACCTGTCCTGCCAGGCCTCCTTGACCCCCTCCAGCCACGGGGGCTGCACTCAGCCTCAGCTTCGGGGTCACAGGGTCCCATCTCCCAGGCCAGCCTTCCACGTCTCAGGTGGGCCGGGAAGCCTAGAGAGAGTGGACCTTACAGGCCGTCAGCAGTAACCAGGGGCTGAGCCCAGGCCGGCTGGTGAGGGAGGCCGGCTGCAGGCTGTGCTCGTCGCTCAGGGCTGAGGCTCAGGGCCCTCCTGCCTGCGGTTATCGGAGCTGTTTGAAAAGTGGCTTGTTTCCAGTCTCCTGGCCTTGCTCCTGATGCTGCTGTCACTGCCGACAACCCCCAGCTGCCGCCCGGGCCCGGCTCACTCCAGCAGACCTCCCGGGGAAGGAGCAGCAGGACCAGAGCAGCCAGCCCGGGCCTGGGCCATCCTCCAGGCCCCGCAGAGGGCACGAGGCAGCAGGCAGGCTTCTCCTCCAGCCCAGCTCCGGGCAGAGCGCCAAAGCGTGCATCTGCAGGCTGCATCCTGGCTGCCCTGGGTGACCTCACACGAGCTGCTGCACCTCTCAGGCCTCCGTCCCCTCCTCTGTGAACCCCACCTCCACAGCAGACGGATGTGGCGTTGCTGGGTCACTGCAGGGATCACACACTCTGGAGTTCCCAGGCTTTCCAAATACCCGCCACACCGACCCACACACCAGCAAAACATCCTGGGAATTCCAGGTCTCGAGGTCCAAGACACCTTCCTGCCGCCCTCCACTGTTCACTGGTGGCAGAAAACTCCTCACTGAGGACAGCGCCTAGGTCAGCCACCTAACCAGGCCCACCGCCACTCCCTGCAGCCGGCCCACACCCACCCTGGGAGACCTCGAAAGCCCAGAGCATGCTGGGCCATCTGTCCTTGGTTCCAGGCCCCCAGGCGCCTCAGTTCCTGTTCTCTGCCCCATCTGGTCCTCACCACCTAGACTGTAACCACCCCGCTCCCTGCTGGCCAGCCCTATAGCCCTGACGGCAGAGAGACGGTGCCAGCACCCAGCTCAGGCGGCTCACAGGAGCGCTCCGAGATGCTGGCTGGGTGCGTGCTGAGGGCAGGCAGGGCAGGGCGACACCTCCTCTGGGAAGCCTTCCCCGCGCCCTGTGCCTGGCCGGCCTGCCCTTGCTCCCAGCCGCGCCGCCCTCGGTGGCTCCTCGGAGACCCAGGTCCCATGCCTAGAGCCCACTCGGTACTCGAACCCCACTCGCGTTTGTGGGATCGGCTCCTGTAGCGGGGAGGGGTGTGAGAACAGTGGGGACAGCCCTCAAGCCTGCAGGGCAGCGAGACACTGTTGTGCCCGAGGGATGGGGCAGAGGAACTGCCCAGCACACAGGCAGGAGGTTTCACAGCTGGGCCCAGCCCGCCAGGCTTCGTCGCTATCAGGTGCGGGTCTGAAAGCCCTGAACATGCCGAGTCTGTGCCAGTGTCGTGCTGTGCCCGCCGAGGCTGTGCCCAGCCCTGTGCTTTGTCGCATTACTTCATTTAATCTTCCCGACCCTCCTCTCCCAAGCTGTCCCTATTTTACAGATGAGAAAACAGTGACCCAGCAAGACAAAGCAACCTGCCCACAGTCACTCAGCAGCCAGTGGGACAGACGCGAACGCTGGCCCAGCCGACTCCAGGGCCCGGCTCAGGGCCCAGAGCTGAGATTTCTGAACCCCTTCATTCCAAACAGGCCCAGCAGAAGGCATTCTGCCCACCCGAGGCTCCTCTTCTGCCCCCTTCTGCTGCTGGCCTTTGCCAGGCTCCCTGATCGCCCCAAGCTCGTCATTCCTGCCTCAGACTTCACACCTACTGTCCCCTTGATCCCTGTCCTTGGCATCATTGCCCCTCCCTCGGGTCTCACCTCCAGGCCCCTTCTGGGAAGGCCTTCCCTGACATCGCGGCACACGTGCCCTTTCCTTGTCTGTTTCTCCCTGGCAGGCTGTGAGCACCCGCAGGGCGGGACCTCGTCCAGTCACTGCTGCACGAGCAGTGGCCAGAGACAGCCTGGCTCTCAGCCGCACTCAATAGCTGCTTCACCCAACCCGGGACCGACCAGGTGCCGCCAAGCCCTTGCTCCCTGCTCCGGGCAGGTCACCAGATGCTGCTGCTCACCACCGCCACACACCTCGGAGCACTGGGGGGCAGGGAAGGAGTCAGGGCACAGCCAGGGTCCGAGAGTGCCCCCTCCCGTCGACTGGACCCCCAGGCCTCACCTCCCTCCAGGAAGAGGTGTGCCAGCTGAGGCAGGGCTGGGCCTGGCAGGGCTGGTGCGCGGGCGGCTTGGCAGGCCCCGGCTGACAGTCCACACACTGCACGTCCCGCAGAGAGGAGCCTCCACCGCAGCTGCGGGAGCACTGGGGACCAAGAGACGCGTGTGGACACCCCCCACATGCAGGCCCACACGTGTGACCCCGTGAGGCGTGTGGCAGGGAAGCCATCAGGCCCACACTCCAGCCCGGGGCAAATCCCTGGAAAGCCCAGAGAGAGGCCAAGGCTGGCAGGTCCCAGGCAAAAGGTGCCTGGCCAGGGGCTGCCATGGGCGGGGACAGACCGAGGAAGGAACAAAGGGAAGCTGGTGAAAGACAGTCCGGATGGGATCAGAAACACAGAGGAAAAGACACAGGCCAAGCCAAAGACTCCCAAGGGACTCGGAATCCGGTGTCACTGGGTGACCAGATGTGCAGCCCAGAGCCCTCCCCTGCCCTGCTGCTCTCAGAACACAGGCCCTGGTTACCCAGGGCTCCTCTCATGCCCTGAGGCTGCCTGCCCTGGCTCCGTTCTCAAGCACCTTTCTCCAGTGGCCTGAGTGCCACGTGGCACAGGGCCGCAGGTGGCAGCAGCGGGCAGGCTGGGGCCAGCCAGCAGGGGCACAGTCCTCATCCCGGCCGGCGCTACGGCGCACCGGCCTCCAGACGGTGCCCAGGCCGCAGGTGGTGGAGCACTGCAGGGCACGGACCTGTGAAAGCCAGGCAGACCCCATCCCCGCCAGGCCCCCACAGCCAGGAACTACCCACCTAGACTACCAAGACCTCAGCAAGACAGGGCCCTCTTCTGGGCCTCAGTTTCCTTATTTGCAAAACAGACTCTTCCACCCACATCCCAAAAAGAATAAAAAGTCAACCCCCCGCACCCAGCAACCAACTGTCCCTGCCCACAAGGGACAAAGGGCCTGTGTTGCCTGCCAAGGAGGGTGGGCCCCTGAGGACAGAGCCAGGTGGCAGTGGGCCGAGCCCAGCCTGGAGGGGCCAGGGTGAGCCACAGGTAAGCTGGCCTCCTGCTGGGCAGGCCTGGGCCTGGTGGCCATGCAGGGACCCTCCCCACATGAGTGAGCTCCGTCCTGGGGCATGCTGCCGGAGTGTGCCCACCCCTGCCTTCCCTGAGGCCTCCTGTGCTGCTCAGAAATGCGCCCGGGGTCCCCCCACCGCAGCTCCGCTGCTCAGATGGGAAACAGGCCTGCCGGGCAGCCTGGCCCCAGGGTCCCAGGGAGGGTGGAAGGACTGAGCTGGAGTAATGCTCCTCCCCCGTACCCAGCCCTCTGTTCCCCCAGTCCCGGCAACCCCCTACTCCGTCCCACTCTGCTCATCTTCAGGTGAGGAAACGGTCACCAAAGTCCCGCCCCGCACAAACTCCCCGCCCGCCCGGCCGCTGGCTCCGTTTCCGGACTGGGGACCTGTACAGAAGGTGAGCGGCCGGTGGGTGTGCGGGGGCCGCGCCTCAGCCAGGCTGGGGGCCAGGAGCTGGGTCTCAAGGGCTCTGCAGCTGTCGGCGTGGACAGCGGCCCAGAGCTCAGGGACACCTCACAGCTGAGGGGCTCAGGCTGGCCCTTGGGTCACAGGCCCAGGGCAGGCTCAGGCTCAGACTCAGGTGTGTGCCCGAGGCCAGTCAGGGTTGTGGGAAGAAAGGCCCACATTGCCACAGTCTGCAGGTCCCAGGAGCCTGGTCCTGCCGTTGGGAAGGTGGGAGTCCCCGGCTCCGGGGGGCTGTCCCTGCCCTCCATCTCTGGTGGAGGGTCTATGGGAGGAGGAGGAGGAGGGGAGGAGCCGCCCCCACAGTGGGCCACAGCTCACTGTCCCCAGGCCCTAGGCCACCCTCCAGAGCTGGCTTCCAGGCTACAGTCCCTCCTGTCCACAGCTCCACCGCGTCAGGACCAGGGGAGGAGTGGGTGTGGCCGACGGGACAAAGGGCAGCGTGGGGCTGGGTCTTGGGACAGGTGGGGGGCTCTGTGGCTCCAGGGTTCCTTATCGTCCTTGGAAACCTCGTTGGTCCTGTCCACCGTGGAGGGGGGCAGCTGGCGCTGGCTGTCCTCGCCAGCTGGGAAGTCACTTTGGCTCCCAGGGGCAGCAGGCATCTGCATGCCATCAATGGAAACCCTGGGCCAGGGCAGGCTGGGGAGCCCAAGGTCTGGAGCCTCTATGGGGGCGTATTCCTCGGGCAGGAAATTGACCGGAATTCCCAGGGGTCAGCTCTGGGGGTGGGGGTGGGGAGCAGCTGGTCTGGCTGGGCCAAGGTCCCGGTGCCCACTCCTCCGTGGCTGCAGGAGGCTCTGTGGCAGGCACTGGGCTACCCGTGGAGGGCACAGCAGGACGGCCGCATGGTGTGGGTGTCCCATCCCGTCCCTGCCAGGTCTAGATCGGGCTCCTCAAGGGGCCCGTAGGACAGGTCCTCGTGGAAGTTGATGAAATTGTCATCCACAAACACGGTCCCCGGCAGGTGCAGCTCCAGGGCCGGCTCCTCAATGGCGTTGCCCATGCTGCTGGCATGGTTGCTGAGGAGGGTGAAGGGCATGGGGCCAGGTGCCGGGGGATGAAGTCAGCCTCGTGAAGAGCTCATGGCTGGAGGAGCCACTGCCTGAGCCTTCAGGATCCGGTGAGTCCAGGGGCCTCGGACAGGGTGGCAGAGAGCAGGTGACCTGGCGGGCTGGCTGCTGGGCCTCGTCACAGGGGACGCCGGTGTCACTGGTGCAGAGGACACTTTGGTGCTGAGTGCCCTCCCCGCCCGTCACTGAGCACTGCGGGGGAAGCCAGGGCGAGGGGCTCAGGCTGGGCAGCAGGCTGCCAGGGGACTCTGGGGCAAGGCGGAGTAACCTGTCCACTGCCTGGTGTCAGAGTGGCAGAGACCCCAGCCAGCCCTCTCTGGCCCTAGCCAGCTCAAGGTCATGGCTGTGGCCACGGCTTACCGGGGGCTTCCTGATCCCTGAGGCTTTGGAGTCAGAGGCTGGACCCTGGAATGTTCCAGGCTCCCTCCCACTCACAGTACCAATAAGGGCTGCAGGAAGGCTGTCTGCCTTTCTGCAGCCCAAGACCAAGGGTGGCCTGGAGACGGCCCCTCCCATCCCACACTCCCCTGAGACCAGTTCCCCACAGCCCAGGTGGCCGGACAGGGCATGTGGCGGTTGCAAGGGGTTTCAACCGCGGGCCGGGGAAGCTGTTCACAGGTGGGCAGCCCCGGGGCGCTCTGCTCATCCAGCCCCGGCAGCAAATGCAGAGCATGGTCCGCAGGAGCTGGAGCACAGCCGCCACTCACCTGCCCACCACCTGGCAAGGGCACACAGGTGGCATCAGCGTGGCATCAGATGGGTGGCATCAGCAGGCTCACCAGCAGGGAGGGCCAGGGCGGGCTCCCAGGCCCTCGAGGTTTGGGCAGAGCCGGAACTGAGGACAGTGGCTGCTTCTCCAGAGCTCCGAGCCCAGGTAGGTGTCCTGTCCCCAAAGCCTGGTGACATGGCCCAGCCCCTCCGCTCCTGCCACCCTCCCCTCAGGGAAAGTGAGCGTGACCTGAGGCCTATTTCCACATCCAAGGACCCAAGGAGGACCACAGGTGTCCAGGCTGGCCCAGCCTGGGGTGAGGGGCGACCGGGGGCTGGGGCTTCAGCCTTGGGAAGAGAATGAAAATCCGGCTCCCTCTGTTCCTCCCTCGGGCCTCCGGGACCCAGATGCAGCAGACTGTGGCAGACCCAGGCTGCCCGGGGGTGGGGGGTTGGTGGAAGAGTGGCGGCGGCTCACCTGGCAGGGCAGGGCTGCTCATGGCACTTCTCTGGCGGTCACTGGGCCAGCCCAGGGGGCCACAGTCCTCCTCCGCAGGCCCTGCCTGCCACTCCGAGCAGTACACACTCTGCCTCTGCACACCTAGGGGCTGTGGGGCTCACCTGGGCCTGGCACCCAGGTACCCACCACCCAAGACCCAAGGATACCCTTTCTGCCAGAACCCTCCCAGAACAGTGCCTCACTGCCCCTGCCAGGATGAAGGCGGAGCCCCCCCACCACCTCCCCACTGTCCTCCTGGCTCTCACCCACCCCCTCTCCTATGTAACCCCCCCCCGTCTGCCCTGGAGAGGTGGCAGTGTGGAGGTTTAGTGGGTTGGGTGCCCTGACCCTCTGCTTCCTAGCTGGGATGCCGGGGCGGCTCATTTGGCCTCTCTGAACCTCAGCGTCCTCCTCTGTGAAGTTGGAGCAACAATCCTGCCTGCCTCCAAGCCCTGGAGGGAGGACTGCGTGTGGCCTTGCCTGTGTGGGCCCAGCCTGTGCCCGGCACATCCTAAAAGCTTGATCCATGCCAGCTGCTGGTAGCATGCAAACCCAGCCATGGCGTCAAGGCTGCCCCACTGTCCACACCCTTCACAATGGCTCAGAGAATGTCTGGAGAAGAAATGCATTGAGGGGCAGCCCCCACTCCCCGTCCCCACACCAGCCTTGGCACTGCTCCCATCCCCTCTGCCACTGCCCACCCCAGGGCCTTTGCACGGCCACGCTCCTCCCCTTGAACTCACTTCCATACTGCCTGTTGAGACCCAGCCTCGGGACCCCCTCTGCTGGTGGCGCTGCCTTCTCTGCTCCCCCAGGGTCCCTCCCCTGAGCTGGCAGTCCCACACCTGTCCCCCTCTTTCCACACCAACAGATTCTGATTTTGTTTGAGGCAGCAGTGGGACCCGCTGAAAACACCCTGCGGACGCTCCCTTGCAACTAGGGGCTCTGGAACAGTCTTGGCTGGGGAGAAACACGCACGAGTCGCTCTCTGGGAGTCAGCCCTTGCCCCTCCTTCCTGCCCAGAGCAAGGCGAGAGGCCCGGGCGCGGGGCTGCCGTCTGTGACAGGCAGGAGGGGAAGGCTGCTGTGGCAAGGCGGTGAGCCGAGGCCGGTCAGCTCCAGGTCCCGCCAGCTTGGACTGTGCACCTGGGGCTTCCTGCCTGTCTGTCCTGGCCACCCGCGAGGCAGCCGATGTGTCAAAGACAACCCCCCAAATGTCTCGTGCTGCAAACGTATTTGTCGCTTTTCACGTTTGTCTATTTAAAGACACCTGTATTATGCCAGGCGTGGTGACTCATGCCTATAATCCCAGCACTTTGGGAGGCTGAAGCAGGTGAATCACCTGAGGTCAGGAGTTCCAGACCAGCCTGGCCAACATGGTGAAACCCCGTCTCTACTAATAATAAAAAATCAGCCAGCCGTGGTAGCGCATGCCTGTAAATGCCAGCTACTCGGGAGACTGAGGGCTGGGGGCACTGAGAGAGCGGGAGACTGAGGTGGGGGGAGGCTGAGGGCTGGGGGTACTGAGGGGCACAGGGGAGACTGAGGGGCGGGGGAGACTGAGGGGCGGGGGGGACTAGAGCACAGGGGGTACTGAGGGACATGGGGGGAGACTGAGGGGTGGGGGGATTCTGAGAGGCAGGTAGACGGAGGGGTAGCGGGGGCATCGAGGGAAATATGAGGAGAAAGAGTGAGAGTTAATGAAACCACCATCGTTTTTGTAAGTCACTCAAAGAAGTCAGCATGGTGAGGGGCCGCTGGGCTGGCCTCAGACCGGGTGGGAAACCTGGCTGTGCCCTGGTCTCCCTCCCCTCACTGCCCCCTTGCCTGCCCCCTTCCACTGTTCCCCCTCCTCTGTCTGGGAAGCCCCTCCTGGGGCAGCCACCAGGGAGCCCCGGGCTCCGGACCACTGGAGGGGTCGGAGGAGGGGGGCAGCCCGCCCCGACAGGCCCACGGCTAAGGCTCTGCGGCTGGGGGTCGTCTCCAGGACACAGCAGAAACGCAGGCCCGAGACCTGCCGGCGCTGAGCCAGGACACAGTCGAGAGGGAGCTGTGGCCCCTGGAGGCGGGACGCCGAGAGCTGGGCGCACTGAGCACGCGCCGCGCGCTGCCATGCTGGTGTCATGCTCTTTCCGATCAGCCAGTGACCCTGAGGAGCGTCAGCCACGGTAGGTACCTGCCCTGCCACCTGCTGCATGAACGGTGTGCCCGCCCCGCTGCACCAGCTCCACACGGGGCACACCTGGGACCCCAGAGCCAGGGTCCCCGCCCCTCCCTCCTGGAGCTGCGGACTTGCTCTTCCGGCTTTCTGTCCTTGTGCTGCTGGCCTCCCTTTCCTGGGAGCCCCAAGGCCTCCATGGCTGAGCCTGGGGCTCTTGGAACGGGCTCCATGCCCAAGCTGGCACACGTGGGTGCTTTATGGTGTAGGGGCTGGGAGCTTGGATGGGGCTGTGTGTGGGGCTCCCCAAGGCCAGGGGTGGCCCTGAGCCAGTGGGTTGGAAGACAGGGTGTTCAGAAAGGAGGGCAGCCCGAGGGCGGTGAGCGTGGGTCTGAGCTGTGGGTGCACTGCCTGTGTGCCGTGGGAGAGGCCAGCGTGTTTCGGGTGGGGAGGCCGCCGCAGCCCCCGGCACTAACTGTGCAGCTCCGGCTCCTTCCTCCTTCTTCCTCCCCTTTCCCCTCCAGCCCCTGTTCCAGGAACCTTGCCGCACCTGCACTGCGCCCTCCCCTGCCCAGCCCTCCCCCAGCTGCTGCAGCTCCCCCTGCTCTGCGCTGGCCTCACCAGCTCTCTCCTCGCCTTTCCCTCTCCCGTTTCCTCTCTGTTTTCTCTGCACCAGCCGATCGGGTCAGGGAAGTCCATCCCCTCCTGAGAGCCCCAGGCCCCCCTCGACCTCTACACAGACCCCCCCTCCTGTCGGAGACCTCCCTTTCCAAGCCTGCCTGGGCGGCTGTTCTGTGACTCCCCAGCCCCGAAGGCAGCCCCCTTCATCTGTGACTTACTCTGTGGTAGCGGTGAGGTGACACATCCAGGTGTGACCGTCCCCTCTGTGGCACGCCCCTGCTCTGTTCTAGAAATAGCTATAAATACTCACATATATACACACACCTCCACGTGGCCGACCGCCTCGCCTCTGGCACTGGGAATCAGTCACCGTGATGTCCTTGTGGTGGAGCCGTGTGGCCCAACAAGAGAAAGCTGTCCCCTGACACTGCCCCTCCAAAGTGCGCCACCTCCAGTGAGCCTCCCTGTCACCCGGGCCCCGCCATCCCTCCTGTCCCCGCCAAGCACCGAGGGTTGCATGCGCAGGCAGGCCCTGTGGCCTGACAGTCTCCTACCCGTCCTGCTGTCCCTCGGCTGAGAGTCAAACCCATTTCTGGACGATGGGGAATGCGTTCCCTGTGGACTGTGTTCTCTCTGGAGCTCAGGGGAAGGGAAAGGCCAAGCCATTTCTGGGGTGCTGTTGGGAGCAGTGAAAAGGCCCCACCCTTTCCAAGGGCCACTGTTCCCGGAAAGCCCCTGGAGCTCAGCTGGTCTCGTCCCGTGCAGCCGGCTCTGGCCACGAGGGGGCAGGAGGGCCACGCACTCAGCCTGGAGGGAGCCCGCGGGGCAGCCGGCGCTCTGGAGGGACAGACAGCGCAGGCCACCAGGCGCAGACAGGAGAGGGAGGCGGGGGGTGGAAGACAGACGCCTGGGGTGGGCGGGAGTCAGCGCCCTTGGGTGCCGGTACCTGCCTTCCCGGCCACCGCTGATCAGGCTTCTGAGCCTGCTGGCTGTCAGGGCCGGACGTGCCACCGCAGTCCCCGGGAAGTCCCCCAGGTGTCACCAGGCAGCACACAGGTAACAGGCCTGGAAGGTCCCCAACAGCCCGGCTGGACACGCTCAGACACTCTGGGGCTCCTCGTTCAGGGGCACAAACTCCAGGACCCAGTGAGGGAAACGGGACTACAGCAGGCCGAGCAGTGTGGCTAAATCCATTTATTCCAAAATAAAAGGCAAAATAAACAGGAGTTGCATCACCAGGGAGCCACGACCCTGTCCCCGCCTCCTTCCTCTGTCCTCTGCTATCAATAAGTAAGTTTCCCAGCTGCAAATAATTATTAAAACCTCCTCCCCCATGTACCAGCTCCAACCTCTGCCAGGTAAGATACACGGGGCACCCAAAACCGCTAAAATATACGTTACACACATACAATATGTACACCGGGGAAGGGGGGGTCACCCCAGCAGCCCGTGCCCTCACCTGGTCCACAGTTAGCGCCACAGTCCTGCCTCAGCTGCCTCTCTGAATAAGAAGATGGGAGCCCCCTGAGGAAGAAGCTGCTTTGGTGAGAGGAAGGAGGCCAGATCAACTCCAGCAGCCTCTGGCTCTTAAATAACAACCATCATCACCCAGAGATTTGAGGATTCAGCCCTGGTGAAGGTGGCAAAGGGTCTGTTTGTCTCCCCCCATTGGACGGGGGGCTTGTCTTGCTACTCTAATAATAAAGGTGTAACTGGGAAGGGTTGGGAGGGACATGGTGGGGCGGAGACTCCAGCTCCCCTTCTGGCCTTGCTGACATGGGCCTGCTTTTATTTTTATATTTTTCCCCATGATGATTTTAAAAAATCTCTTAACTTCCTTTTCATAAATTTTATACTTTTCATAAAATTTTTCCACATTTTATCCACGTTTTTTTACCACAACCTTTACACAATTTTTATCCCATAACTTTTAATCACGTTTTTATTAGTTTGTGTTCTTTTAATAAACACACTTGCATAGCTATATTACAATTTCATAAAAACACATTATCTCATGCCAAGCGTGCCCAGCATTTGCAGAGTCTCCATACCTTTAATACTATAGTTGTCAAGACACACAAAATTTTAAGGCAAAAACAGCGCTTTGCAGCAATTGAATAATTTATTACATTACTGGAGCATCACAACAGCAGTCAATAATGTCGCTTTAGACAAAAGGCTCAGGATTTACATCTTACATTCTGTTCATAAGAGTTCATACATTGGTAAAAGTAATTCTTAGAAAACCTGGCAACTAAAGCTTTGGACTGGAATTGGCATTTCTTTCTCTATTTTTCCTTCCCCTGGTTTCTTTTAAACTGTGATATTCATATTTTAAAATGTTTTAAGTACTTTCAAAACATTAAGATAGCAGTTACATGTTTTAATAGTTATTTTAAAATGACTCTTTAAGATAAAGTTTTGGAGCAGCTATATTATGGGTAGGATAGGACTGATTTACATTTTCAAATTTTCTTAAAATCAGCTTTGGTTTCAGAACTGATTTTTATTCATTTCTGGAAAACCTATCAGGTTTAATAAAATCCTTTAAAAATGATTATCATATATTGCAATCTTTAAATAGGTATTTTGATTCTTTCTAAATAAATTCAAATTTATTCAGTCGAACCCACATTTGAAAATTCTATGTATTTTGTAATGACCCCTGAACAGAGAGACGCTGCCATTGAGCAGGCCTCTGGTATAGCAAACATGCTCCATTCAGGAGCTGTGAATATAGCTCTAGGTGAGTCCCTGAATCCGTTCATGGTAGATTATGCTAAATAGTGAGATGTTGCTGGAGGTGTGGATGAGGACGTTTGTTGTTGTAATCCTTCTTTGCACCTTATTTTAAAGAATAAATGAAACATTTTTCTGGTTACCTTTCTAAAACTTTAAAATGGAGGGGAAGAATAGGGCAGGGCATTGTTATGTTCCTTCTGACCCTTCGGTGTTATAAATTCAACATATAGACTGACAACCTAAATCAATGGTGGAACACAGTTCCTTTTTTTTTTTTTTTGTATCTGTTCAATGAAAATAAGAAGGTACAACCCAAGTTTTATACTCTGACTAGAGGGATTCCACTTCAAGGTCTGAAAGTAGGACTTTTACCTTAAAAAACAACAACAACAAACAAAAACTATCACACAGGATGAATAAGAAGATGCTTTAACAGTTTTGTGTGGATCCTGTTGGTGCTGAACTATGGCATGAGCCTTATAGATTATAAAATAGAAATAGTTGAAGCTAAAGTACAGAACTGAATTTTTTAAACTTTGTTTGCTGTTGAAGTCTGTGAAGTTTCAGTTATCTAAAATAAACAGACACAAATAGGAAAAAAATAAAATTCTGTGTTTTTGATGAATGCTAACCTTCTGATGTTGCCTTCTAAGCAAAGAACAGATACTTGGCTGAATGAAGTACTGCAAAAGACTCACATGCACTTTGAAGAAAGACTTAAGTCACTGTCATATGATTTCCATTCTTTTTAGCTTTCTCTTAAATAGATGACAAAATACCTACACAGAGTGATATTTCTGTTAATATAGTAAATGTATTTTCCAGACTGACATTCAGCTTAAATACGCCTGTATGTGATTTACTCCATAGGTACCTGATGAACACATTCTTGTCAGATTGGGTACAGATGCTAAACACTATGTCAAGGTCATTCCTAGTCATTTATATTTCTTAGGGTAAAAGTGAAGTGATTTGAACTATCAAAAGACCTTTGAAATAATTTATCAATGTACTAGATAAACTCAGTTTCAGAATGATCAAGAAATAGCCCAGATAATGTGGCTGATTAACAGAGGCACGATTTCTAGCCCGAGGGCTGAATATGGACTTAGACTAACTGTCTTTAAACTGAACTCACAGAATGCAAAAGCGGCAAGTTCAAAAATAAAACACAAGACAGAACTTTAAGTCCATTTTAAATCCCCCGGCTATAAATCGTACCACTGTTAATTAGCTGCATTATATTGGGCTAACGTTTTTTCTTGATAATTCTGAAACTGAGTTTATCTAATACATTGATAAATTATTTCAAAGGTCTTTTGATAGTTCAAATCACTTTACTTTTACCCTAAGAAATATAAATGACTAGGAATGACCTTCAGATAGTGTTTAGCATCTGTACCCAATCTGACAAGAATGTGTTCATCAGTTACCTATGGAGTAAATCACATGCAGGCATATTTAAGCTGAATGTCAGTCTGGAAAATACATTTACTACATTAACTAAAGTATCACTCTATGTAGGTATTTTGTCATCTATTTAAGAAAAAGCTAAACGTTTTTCCTTGATCATTCTGAAACTGGGTTTATCTGATACGTTGATAAATTCCTGCTTTTTGGAGGAGTCAGTTCAAGTCACCACGAACCAATATTTGCACTCTTTCAGTTAATGCAGACAAATGTGTTATTCCATCTGTAAAATCATATTAGTGCTCTCCTGTTAATGTCATATTTATGAAAGTATCATGAAAAATGCTAAACATGGAGATGGTCAGTAACTAGGAATCTCCACTTCAGGGAGCACAAATACATATCTCCCTCCATCCTAACAATGGGACGTATTTTGGCATACAAACATTAGAATTTCATGAAATTTCAACTGTTGATTTTTTTCCCAAGCATCATAAGTTATGATTTAGACAATGTCTGACTGAAAGAATTCATTCATAATGTAGAGGCACATTAACATACATCTTGCACAAAATATGCCTCTAACTGAAACCGAAAGGCACAAAAACATATTTCACTCTTGGTGAAGAACTTGGTGAGGAAATACAACTGTGACTGTATACACGGTTTTCCTGATAATACGCCGACATTCACAAACAGTAGATGGCACTGCAGTCTATACACAGTTTAAGCTGCATAAACTTTGATTTTCAAACATAGTACAATTCTGTCTACTGAAACTCCTTTTGGTTTCAGCCAAGTATTGTCACATATATTCGTTTATAACGTTTGTGATTATTTTTTGTTTGGGATTATTGTTTAAAATCCTTTCTATTCAAGAAAAAGAAGGCAATTTCTATGTCAGAGTAACCAATGTGGTTGAAGAATAGGTATTAGCCAGAGAAGTCTGGATGGTCACATCAATCTAGCCTCAAAGAAGCTCCATGAACACAGAGGGAGCCATGTGACACAGAAAGCCAGGTGTCACATGGCTTTCCTGCACTCTAGTTCATTCTTGACAATCTGTATGCCTGTTCCAGGGACCTTTAAACTTCTAAATTTTTATTAACATTTTAATTTTATTTTCTGGACATTTAAACTTTAAAGGATTTCTTTTTTGTTGTTGTTGGAGATGTTTTATAAAAATGGACATTTTATCAGCAACTTGCTATGTGAACTGTAATCAATAGCAATTTTTACAACTGTGAAAAGACACAAAAGAATAATCTCATCTGTCATCTCTTTCTGTGTGCAAAGCACTATACCAAGTGTCCTAAAACATTAACTGTTCAATCATCAATATTTAGTGCCTATCCATTCTAAGATAAAAATTTCCATTCATATATATATATATATATATATATATATATATATATATATAAAAACTTTATCTTAAAGGATTTCTTATGATCTTTACTAAATACATTAAGAAGAATGCCAACCAGTGCCCTTTTGTGTACTGAGACTTGGAGTCATGTGTTAAAACAGGTAACATGAACTCTGACTTTACAATGTGTTATAGATATAAATGCTCTAGGCTAGGAAAGGTTTTTCACATCCACTGTCAAAGATGGGAGCCCTTTATTCCTCAGAAATCATCCTTTTTTAGGTCATCAAAAAAGAGTACAGCTGCCACAGCTCATGATGCACTATCTTCATGAGCCCAGAGCACAGAAAAACCCTAAAAGAACTGCCATAGCACAGTGCTCATTCTTGGCATGGGAATGAATGAAATACTCTATTCTGCACAGACCTGCCAGAGCAGGCCACTTTCCTCTTCTGTCAGATTTTAAAAGCTCCCAAAATGTTATTACTCTCATTTGCAATGCACAGAACATGGAAGAAAGGCTGTTTCCAGTTCTCGGCCTTTCGACAGCTCTAAATCTCAGTACTCATAGTGGCATCTTACAAAGTAATAAACAGTGTGCACGTGAGGGCAAAGCACATACTGAGCTAACTAAGAGGTCACTGTAATTAGGATTCGATCAAATACCATAGCAGAACATAAGCAAATTGTATCTGAATTCCATAATTAATATACATGCTGCAATAACGTTAAAAACTATAGCAGCCTATTCCAAACTGGCGAGAATGGTTTTGTACCAACAGTGGGTCTTTGTGTGTTTGAACTCCCACCACCTAAGGGCAAACTGGATAGGCATGCTAATGACCTATGATTATCAAATTAAAAATGAAAAACCCTAAAGGATGCCAGAGTGAACATCAGTGAAAGCCACATGAAGACCCATTCTCCTTTAACTTTCTACAAATAAACTATAAATTAGAAACACAAATCATCATGAGTGTTTCATGAGCTCTAACATCTAAATAAAGTAACATGTAGAAGACTAATCCTATAACTTTGTTCCTTCGTAAATTTCTTGGCCAGTTCTTAGTTGATGGTGACGTTTACTTCCTCCTTCACAGCAGTGGGGTAAAAGGATGGCATAGAGGGACTGCTGCCCAAGGGTCGGTGTTGCTGGCCGTCCCACAACTCACAAAGCAATGCAACATCTGCTGTGCAGTGGGGTGGGGTGTATCCTCCCTCCTGCAGGCTCCAGGCTGTCGCTGTCATCATCCAGGCTCACCTCACAAAATTCTTTGGAGAGAAGGAGGTGGGGATCTGAGCACAGTGCCAGCCTCCCCTTCTCCTGCCGGCCCACCCTGCCTGAGGGCTCTACTCACCATCCTTGTCAGTAGTACCAAGCTCCTGGGGGGCTGGGGTCCCTGGAGTGGACTCATGAGCAGGGTGCTGGACGTCGTGGTCAATCATAAGTGGCATCACTGGCCCCTGCAGCTCCAGCAGCTCCACCTGGAGATAGGGGTGCTCAGCTTCCATGCCGGTGCCGGCACCCACGCTCACGCCCACCCCCATCCCCTCACCTCCGCAGAGAGGCTGTACACCTTACCTTCATCCCCTCCTCGGCCTGGGACAGCATGCTAACATCCTTCTTCTTCTGGTGCTGGGTCTTGGCCACTGCCCTCTGATGGTCATTTGGTTTAATGGACTTTCCTGCAGGAGGACAGGCTCAGAGGCTGGGGCCCCTTCACCACCCTGCAGCTCCCCTGCCCTGCCCTGGCCTCCTGCTCACTTATCGTGTCTCTCTCTCCAGAGAGCTGGATCAGTCCGAGTTCTAGTTTTTCCACCCGCTCCTTGAGGTCCACATTCTCCTTCACAATGTCAATGAAGTCTCTCTGGAGCCAAAATAACGGGGTCACATCTTGGCAGTGATCTGCCCCACCCCCACCCTTCATGGCACCTGCCAGGACTCACTCACCTGCAGCTTGTCGATGGCTTCCTGCAGGGCCCGCTGGGTCTCCCCACACCGACACTTCGCTCCTAGCCCCTATGGCCATGGCCGCTGCCTCTGGCTCCCTCAGGGCCGAGGCCACCGGGTGAGCCTGCTGCTGGCAGCACAGCCTGTTGTTGCTGGAGCTGCTCACAGAGCCGTGCCTGCTCCTCCTGGGCACCAGCTCCAGAAGCATTCAGAAATGGCACCTGAAGGCAAGAGGGGAGCATTCTTGTAGGGGCATACACAGGACAGACGGGGCAGGGAGGTGGAGCGCAGCCCCTTCCCTTGGGGCCTCAGAGAGTGCACCTGTCAGTCACAAAGGTGTCCGACTACTGGCTCCCAGAAGGGGTTGGGGTCCAGAGGAATCAGAAGGTGGAGAAACCAAGAGCATAAGGGAGTCTGGGAGGGACCAGAGAGGAAGGTGGCCTGCCCAGGCGCCTGGCCCCTGGTTCCGGCCTAAGAGACTGCCTCCCTTGCCTAGAACCCCATTCCTCCTTCCCCAGCCTGAAATCTCACGGTCCTTCCTTCCACCATTTAAACTGTAGGCCACAGACTGGTGGAAAAGCAGAGGGAGCCGACCACCATCTGCCAAGTGTGCCACATGCCTAATGCTTTCCATGCATCATCTCATTTAATCCTCAGCACCCACGTGAGGAAAACACTAACTTCCTTTGCAAGTTAAAGAAACAGAGACTTAGAGATACAAAGTAGTCGAATGGTGACCAGTGGAACCAAGGCCGGAATCCAGTTTGGATCTAAGGAGACTTTCGTTTTGCTTTGCTTTGATTTGATTTGTTTTGTTTTGAGACAGAGTGTCACTCTGTGGCCCAGGCTGGAGAGTCGTGGTGCAAACTCAGCTCACCGCAACCTCCAGCTCCCAGGCTCAAGCGATGCTCATGCCTCAGCCCCCTGAGTAGCTGGGATTACTGGTGTGTGCCACCACGCCCAGCTTTGTTGTTGTGGTTGTTGCTATAATTTTAGTAGAGGTGAGCCTTTGCCATGTTGGCCAGGCTGGTCTCAAACTCCTGCCTCAGCCTCTCAAAGTGCTGGGATCACAGGTGTGAGCCTCCGCACCCAGCATAAAGAGCCTCTCACACCACTGTCTCTTGCCCTATGACTGGGGAGCTCCATGCCTTGAGCTGGGATGATGATATCCAGACCTGGGAGGAGACCAGGGCTACCCGCCTCTAAAAGTCAGGGGGCAGGAAGCAAGAAACGGTCACAGGACTGCCCTGGAGGGTGTGGGGTCACCTGCCCCCAGGGTGGAGCTGCCTTTGGCCTTGTACCTCCCCTCCCCAGAGGCCGGTGCCTGCCTCCAAGCCCTCCGGGATGGGGCAGAGGTTACCGTCTCCTGTTCGTCAAGCTTCTCCTGCAGTTCCTGTACTTCCTGCTCCAAATGCAGTGCGCTCCTATTCTCATTCTTCTGGACAGAGAGAAGCAATCAGCGGCCACCCACTGCAGCTGGAGACCCCAGAACCTGGTGTCTGCCTCCCATGGCACCAGGAAGGGTGGAGTCAGGTTAGAAAAATTGTCTCCTTTCTCCCACAGAAATCAGAGCAGGACTCTGCACTCACAGGTGCCTTTAGATGCCCCATTTCATACACTCCTCCATTTTACGGGTGGGAAAACAAAGGCCTGGAGGGCTGGGAATCAGGGCAGTCTCCGCAGGTGGGCAGCACACCAGCTCCTCCTCCTGCTCCTGGAGCCCCTCCTGCTCAAGAAGCCTCTCCTCCTGTTCTCTCAGCCTCACCTCCTGCTCCCGGAGCCTCATTTTCGCCTCCTGCAGTCTCTCCTGTTCCTGCAGCTTGTCTCTCAGGTACTTGGTTTCAGTTTTTAGGTTTTTCTCCAAGTAAGAGGGCCCTGCTGGGTGCTTCAGGATTGGGGGTTCAGCTGAGAAAGGAAGCAGACAATAAGGCCTCTGGATTCTCAATAAAACAACAACAACAACAAAAAACTCTTCTGGGTGCACAGCTCCTCTGAAGCTCCCCAAACCTGCCATCACTGTTAATGATTCCTTGCACCCAAATGGTAGCCAGTCCTCTGAGCCACTTTCAGATAGAGAGGACTGTGGGTGGCTGACAATGGGAACCTTTCCCTCTTTGCTGATGGGGACACTGAAGCTCATGGAAATTACAAGACTTGCCATCTCCTGGCACAGACCTCTTTCCCTCTGCCTCAAAGCCCTTCCAGCCACCCGCCTCCCCGGGGCACTCTAAGCCACCTCCACAGCCCTCTGACTCCAGTCCTGCTCCGGGTCACGCCAGCCCCATCTTACCCAGATGGTTTTGTAGGTGGGCAAGGCTCCCCTTCAGCTCCTTGATTTTCATTATGTCCTGCCTTTTCTCCATTTTGAATATTTCCATCTGCCCAAAGCACAGGGGGAAAGGGCCCTGGAGAGAGGGGCTGGTGGCTGGACAGGCTACCATCTCCCTCTCCGCCCCCAGCTCCACAAAGCCCAGTCCTGTGACCACCCCTGGCTGGACTATTCTTTTTACAGATGCCCAGGAAGATCAAGTGAGCTATCTAAGGTGGGGGGCTGAAGGGTCAGCTCTCACTTCTCCTGCCATTTTCAGCAATTGCTGCTGCCACCGCGCCCTCTCTGTTTTGAGTTGTTGAGCGTATGTGTCTCTTTCTAGCTGAGCTTTCTTAAGACACTCCGTCACCTGCAAGAATGGACCCAGAAGTTAGGAAGGGCTGTCACTGGTCCTCACCTGCTCCTGGCCACCTGGGGTTATCTTCCTTTCACATCCCTCCCTCTGCAAAGTCTTACCTCTGCCACCTGTGCTTTGAGCAGTTCCCGCTCCTGTAGAAACTGCTGTAACTGCTGCTCAAGGACTGCTTCACAGCGGCTCAAGGGCTGGATGGTGGAGAGGGAGAAGCTTCAATCTGAAAAGCTTGGGCCATTCCACATGGTGCCCCTTAAAAGGGCTAGGTTATAGCTTAATACACAACTCGGTCAGTAAAGATCAAGGCCCATGGTCTGGATTTTAAAAGAACTCAGTAAAGTTGGAAGGGACAGGCAAAGTGATCAAATTTACTGCTGGTTCACAGAGGCCCAGAGAAATCAGATCATATTCTATTGTTATTCCTGTTATTACTACTGCTGTTGGAACCTTTATCAAGTGGGTCACCAGGTAGAATGCTAACAATCCCATTTAACCTCACAACCACCATGTGAGGCAGTTACTACCATTACCTCTACTGTGTAGATGGAAAACATGGAGTATTAGAGGTTAGGTGGTTGCCTAAGATCACTTAGACAGAGCTGGGATTTGAACACCCAGGTCCATCTGATCCTCTAAGTCCATTTTATTTCCTGCTGGGGGTGGGGGCACAGACAGGAAGGGGGAGATGAATCTTTTGTTCACTTTTTGAAAGGATGATACATTCTCATAGTCCAAAACTCAGAAGGCACAGAAGGGAAGTATCTCCCAGCCACCTGTGCTCTCTCCTGAGTTTTTCACAAATCCTTACAGACATGTTTTATGTATATTATTATAGTATACACACACACACACACACACACACACAATTTTCTCTTTACACAAATGTGTATACACACACACACACACATTTTCTCTCTTTACACAAATCGTAACATACTAAAGCTCCTCTTCTGTACCTTCACTGTCCAAGTACCTAGTCCTCCACCTAGGACTTGGCCAAGGCCACAGCCAGGTAAGGCCAGGGTGGGCATTTGGCCTCTGAGCTCTGCATCCAGTGCTGGCTCCCCATAGCACCCTTCAACTCACCCACAGCAGATCCAAGGTGAAACTGGAGCCCAGGATTGGCAGTGTGAAATCAGGGGACCCCACAGACTCTTACCAATAAGTCGATGGTGTTATTCAGTTCACTGGTTGTGATGGAGCTCGAGTCCAGGGCTATTTGTAGTTGGTGTGCGCTCTGAGGCACATGCAGAGAGGAGGAGTTGGGGGAGTATCGGGGGACAGGTAGAGAGAACAATCATTAGGATTGGGGTGTGTGGGGTCTATCTCAGCTGGCAGAGGGGCACCCAGCCGCCACTGTGGGAGGGGGCTGGAGGGCTGGCCTGCAGGGTCACTGTACCTCAGCTCAGGTGCCTTTTACCTCTGGATCTTTCATGGAGGCACATGGTGCAGGGCCCTCCTTGTGACCACCTGCTGCTGACTACAAGAGATGAGAGTACACACGGAGATGTTCTGTCCCCTCAGTGTCCAAGCCTATGACTTCCATTCCTCCCCATCAGCTGGCAGCATTTTCTGTTCTGCCTCTCTCGGACCCTTGGTCCCATGTAACTCCCTTGTGCCAGCTCCTCTCATGGTTCTTATCTCCCACCATCCCACCCTAGGGCCCTTTCAGTGACTCTCTTTAAGGGACAGCCTGACAGCAAATGTCTGTTCTCATTGGGCTGGCTTCCCCTTGAGACTGGGGATGAAGAAAATCAAACAGCAAGGACCATTTCCTGGGTGTCCTGGGTGTTTACAGTGGGCCATGTACTAGGGATTAACAAAAAAACACCAGCAATAACGAATCTCATTTCACCTTCACAAATGGAAGTCAGACAATACCACCTCTATTTTACAGATGTGAAAGGAGAGGCCCAAAAAGCTCCAGCAACTTTCCCTAGATCAGATCCCTGGCAGACGAAGAGGCAGGATTCAAACCCAGAATTCCTAACCAGTAACCAGAAGTTCTTCCACAATCTTAACAATTACCCTCTACTGCCCTTTGTGCCCCTTTTCCCCAGAAGCCTGGCCAGCCAAGACTCACATGGCATAGTGACTGGCCACCATCAGAAGCAGCTGTCTCATGACTATTGTTGTTTCTTTTCTTCTTTTTTCTCACTCGTGTTGAAACAGCAGGGCTGTTTCTTTGTTGAAATTCTTTTAACTGTGGGAAAAAAGAGCAGTACTGCCCATGAGAACTACAAACCCCTACTTTCACAACCTACTTTACAGGTTTTACAAAATACTCTTATACACCATCTGATTTAATGCCACCAACAACTCTGTAAATGTTGTGACAATCACTTAGTGACTGAGAGGGATTGAGATCATGGCAAAAAAGAAAAAGAAAAAGAAAAAGTAATACTAGACCTTAAACTCATTCCTCTGATTCCAAACTTTGGGGTTTTGCCACGAATCAGCAACTGCCAGACACCAAAACTACAGGCAGAGGTAGAAAAGTCAACATGAAGTAGACAGGAAATGTATGCCATGTGGTTTAGAGTCATATGGCCTCATGTCTGTTAGTGTTAAGAGCACCAGCACCTCTCACACTTTTATATCAATGTGTCCTCATGGCAGAAGGCAGCCTTTCTGTTAAATCTGGGAATTCATCAGAAAGAGGACAACCCAAGTCTCATTTCAGAGAGAAGTTTGGTATACTAGAAACCTATGTGACTGTCATCCCTAAGTACATTAATGTTTTTGCTGTCTCAAGAGACTCAAGGGAAATTGATGCTTCAGAAAGATGTCCCATGTTTATCCCTTGGCATTCAAATTAGCCTAAGTTGACATGATATAAGGAAGATTCAAGCTGTCAAGTTCAATTTCCCAAGATCTGTTCCACAGAAGATGAGCAGATCTGACTCCAGAGGCCACTGACTGAAGGGCAGTCTGGTCCCAGAACCATGAAGAATTTGAATATGAGGTGGAGAACTCAGAAAGAAACATGAAAGTCTCTGGAGAGTAGAAGCCTGAGAGAAAACCAAACCAAACCCATTCTCCCATACCACCCAGAGACACTGTCAACGTTTTGAGCTCACGGGGGAAGTGTAGGCTTTCCACATTGTCAATGTCTATGTTAAGGGAGTGAGGCAGCCTGAAACTTCTTGCTCCTAGGTCCTATAGTCCCCATTCCCCTTCCAGTTGGAAATCTGTGCTGGGACCAGAGGAGCCAGAAGTGGGATGAGAATGCTTAGGGGACTGCGTCCTATGATCAAGGACTGGTCTTGTAGCAATACTGATGGTTTTTATGGGCACTGTGACATCACTACATTCCACTCCTCCTGGGGGAGGGGACCACATCAAGGAGATACCTGAGTCACTGTTCCATGATGGGGGAGAGGCATGCAGTGCTGGGACCCAGGTCCTTGGAGATGCCAGCCCAAAGAGCACAGGGAGGTCGAGCTTGGGGTAGCAGGAGGGGAGGGCAGAGTCTGCAGCAGGGAGCCCAGGAGTCGCCAGCCCAAAGTCACCCAGAAATGACTGATGAGGCAGGGGCTGGGGGACCCAGGTCCTTAGAGACATGAGCCCACAGAGCCAAGGGAGGTCAGGCGTGGTGCAGGAAAAGGTGAGGCCCAAATAGGGGGCGGGGAGCCTCAGCGGTTACACATCCAATGTCACCCTGGGGTGATTGGCAAGGGCAGGGGCTGGGTTCCTTGCTGAAGGGGTGGGGTTAACTGACAAGACATTGGTAGGGGGAGCCCAGAGGCACCGGGGTTGTGGACCCACCCAGTCTGGTGTGTCTCAGAAGTCTTACGGACTCTGGCAGCGGTCTTGCCATCAGAGGGGATCTGTGTGCGTGTTACCTTCTTCCTAGCCGAGGCTAATTTCATCTTGCGAATTTCTTCTGACATCGCCATGGTGGGTGAGGAAGAAAGATCCAGTTGGGGAGGGAGATGGGATTTGGGGGGGAGGTGGGGTTGGGGAGGGAGGTGGGGTTGGGGCCACAACAGCACAATTCAAGGGAGCACTGGTAAGCAGCTCCTCTCCCCTACCAGGCAGCTGTGTTGACTGAGCCAGAGGAGGCGTAACCAGGGCACCAATAGAATGTAGAATAGGGGCGTGGCCTTCATGCTCCAAGCCCATTGGTCATGGGAAAGATGAAAGGGAAAGGAGGCGTGGCCAGGCAGCTCCGGAGACACCTGTGGCATCCCAAGGAAAGTGTCTCCTGTAACTCCTGTCCCCGCCCACTCTGAGAGGGTAGGGGCCACCCACTCCAGGAGAGGGGAGGGCCTTGCTTTTGCTTTTAAACTTTTCAATCTACCAGGGCATGCAGCTCAATGTTTGGGAAGGTGACTTAATGGGGAGATGACAGTGCGGAAAACTATCCTGCCTAGGCAGAGGCCTCATGGAGCCCAGGGTTCCCTAGGGCCAGGAGAGCACTGGAGCACACCCTGACACCCACTGGAAACCTGAAACCCACACCTGCAGGAGATCAGGAACGGGGTTCAGACAGGCACAGGTGGGCACCAAGCAGATCTCCTGCCTGACCTTCCTCTCCTGCCTCCCACAAGCAGAGGAGAAGTGACAGCTGCCCATCAGCCCATTGGCTAGATTGAAGCCACGGAATCTGAATCCCAACAGGCATGTGTAACCCCTGACTGTCCCAGGTAGGGCCCGAGGCAGTCATGGCTCTGGTGAGGACCTGGTAGTCAGATGTGAGGTCCCCAAGTGGCTCTATAATCCTTTTAATGAGAATAATTAATGAAATGGGCAAGACCATCATGCTCAGCCAAGAACCTGTGAGGCCCAGACAGAAGTCAGTTTAGTTCCAGGCCTGGCCCTGGAAGGATGGTGAACCGGGGGCAGCCACAGTGAAGGGGAACGGATAGCCATGGGCTGCGTGGCCAAGGCTGTCAGCTCCTGCAGCACCTGCAGAACGTCTGCCCAGGCCTGGCTCTGCACTCACACTTCTGCCTGGAGCCACAGGTGCCTGGACAGTGGCCTGAAGTACAGATGGTGGTAGGAAAAGCCCTTGTGGCCATATGTAGGCACGTAGGCATGAGACAGCGGGAAATCATGCCCCAAAGAGTCCATACAGGCCAAGAATTCAAACAGGTGTAACACCATTGTCCTGTGTCACATCAATTAAGTCAGAGCCTATCCTGACCCTGAAGCTGCAGCTCAGTCTAGTTGAGACTCATAAAGAAATGTCAGTGCAGGGCAGGGCACGGTGGCTCATGCCTGTAATCCAAGCACTTTGGAGGCCAAGGTGGGTGGATCACCTGAGGTTGGGAGTTCAAGACCAGCCTGACCAACATGGTGAAACCCCATCTTAAAAGTCAGTGCAGGGCAGGGGGCCCGGATCAGCATACGACGTCCAGCAAAGCTGTGTGCTGGACAAGAATCTTTGAAGATGAGTCC